ACTAGGGGACATGCACTGTGGGCTTCTTGCCCCCAAATAATCCACCATGTTCTTTGCACACCTCCTGCTGAAACTCAAATTCCACCTTCACGTCATTTTTCTGATTGAGAAAACAAAACAAAACATTGTTTCCAGAAGGCCAGTGTTCACAGCTCACAGGGAGAGGAGCGCTCTGGAGACTGGTTCCTCTCTCTCTGTATAGATTAAATTATTATGACAGCCAGGGCTGTAGCAAAGGCAGGTACATTTGAACTGGGGAGTAGCTGGGATAAGAAAGAAGGGAAGAAAATCTGTGAGTCTGGCAGTCTGGTGGGAAAATGGGGAAGATTATGGCAGCGTCTATCCAGATAGAGGTCCTGGCAAGGGCTCTGACTCTGAAATCTCCCCATCTCCACCCCTATTCCTTTCCCTTCCTCTGGACTTGCCTTTCTCTTTCTGTCTCCAGATTTGCAACTCAAGAAAAGCAAATCTATTTCTCTTTAGATCTAATTTATCCCTCCATAAAATCACAGTGATGGGCTAAATTACAGTTGCTACCCTAGGACAAGTCATCAGCGTTAAAGATTCCCAGGTTGAGGAATGTTCCCTTAAAGTCCCAGTTAAACAAGTCCTAGGGTAAGGAGACAGAAACCCTTTTAGATGAGTCAGGGATGACCTGAAAAAGAAACAGGTTTTGAATGAGTCCCCTAACCCAGGTTTAGCAAAAATGACATGGGTTTCAACTCCTGCCACCACGAATAGTAAGTGTTCCCAACAGGTACCAAGAGCCACGTTAGGTTCATGCTGACTTCTTGGAAAAGGTTAAACACCAAATCTTATGAATCCAAACCCTATGTGATTTTGCCTCACTTAAAAAAAATTTCCAAATACTTGCACATACGTTGCCTCCCAACAACAACGTCATATATCCATCTATACACACCTAGAAGCGATATTAGAGTGACGGCTGTAACAGATTGACCCCAAAATACAGTGACTTAAAGGGAAAAAAACAGGTTTTTTTTTTTAATATTACAGAACTGGCAAAGGAGTTTTATTCCACATGATCATTCAACACAGTGGGGAAGGAGAAGGCTCAGAAAAAAACATAACTGAAGTCTTAAAAACCAGTTCAGGGAGTGGTACATTTCACTTCCACACATATTCTATCGCCTCACTCAACTGCAAAGTAGACTGGGACATGTAATCTAACTAGGCGGACATCTCCCCAGCTTTAAGAGGGAATAATTTTCATAGGTGGATAGACAGGTTGATTCAGGTTCAGGTTCAGATTTAGATTTAGTTTTGGTAGGTTCTCAACTTTAAAAAAAATGAGACTTAGGCTCATAAAAGATACAAAGCTTCCCTAAAGTTGTATACCTAGTACATGGACAATTGAAAGACTCCAGCCTAGATCTTCTGAGTTTAGGAGGGCTTCACATGCCATATAACACCATGGAAGGTTTTTGAGGAAGAAGTTATGCAATGCAATGTTATTTTAAGAAGATTATTTGTCAGCATTGTGAAGGGTGAATTGTAGAAAGAAGAAATGAAGACATGCAACTATAGAAAGAATCCAAGCCAAACTCAACAACGGCCGAATCTAAAACAGTGGCGATTAAAAGAAGATGAAAGATTATTAGAGCAGAGGTTCAGAATTCAGGTCCCCTGGAAAGGCCTCCATAGCGTCAAACTCATGAGTCACTTCACTGGCATTTTACTGAAGCTTCTCGAGGTTCTCCTCCCACTTCTCTGGCCCCTCCTTCTCAGTCTCCTTTGCTGCTCCTCCACTGATACCCATCCCTAAATATCAGCTGACTCCAGGGTTTGTTCTCAACCCTCTTCTCTGCTCACCTTACTCTCCCCACTCCCTGCCCCCGTCCCCAAAGCTGTCTCATCTAGTTCCTTAGCTTTAAATTGCATCTTATCAGTTATCTCTTACACAGTAAATCTACATCACACACCACCCAAAACACAGTGACATTAAACAATCAACATTCACTGAGCTCACAACTGCAGATTGGCCTGGTGGTCCTGCCATCTTTGACTGCACTTACATACTGTCTGGGTGTCCCCTGGCTATAGACCAGTATCAGATGGCCTCCACTGGGATGACCAGGCCCCTCAAGTCTAACATACATGTCTTTCATCTTCCAACTGGCTAGTCTAGGATTGTTCCCATGATCATAAAAGAGGGCATGAGTAAGCCAAGCCAAGTGCCTTCAAAGCCGTGGCTTCCATCATGTTTGTTAACATCCCATTGGCCATTAATGAGAGGGCAGGGCAAAGGACACTGATAGGGAGAGATGAAGAATTGGAGCCATTTTGGAGTCCTCCACAGATATATGCAAAGCCTCCCCAATTTATTTATCTGAGTCCTGATCTCTTCTGAGCTCTAGACATGTATGTTAAATGGCCTAATGGACAGTGCAATTGAGTATCTCTAGGCATTTCAGACAGCATATTTAAAATTGAACTTTTCTATCTGACTCTCAGTAATACCTCCATCTTCTTCCCTGTATCTCTTTCTCTTATAAGGACACTAGTTATTAGATAGGCCCTACCCCAATCCAGAATGACCTCATTTAACTTGATTACATTTGCAGACCCTATTTCCAAGTAAGATCATATTCACAAGTACTAGGGGTTAGGACTTGACTATCTTTTTTGGAGGATCCATCCAATCCATAACTGCCATGCTGTTCTCAACAGAACATACTGGGTGATAAAAACATGGACTTTGGAGTCCAGATTACCCTGATTTGAACACCAGGTCTGTTCTTATTGGCTATGTGATCCTAGGCAAGCCACATAAACTCTCTGAGCTTCAGTTTCCCTATCTGTAAAATGTGGATGGGTATAGCATTTATATCATAGAGATAATCTGAGAATTAAACAAGTACTCCCTCCAATGAGTACAGTGCCCAGAACATAGTAACACATGTGTGTTTATTAGATAAAATAAGTTCTTTACCTGTTCATTTTCAGGTCTCAGCTTAAATGTACTTTCTCAGACAGGTATCTCCTAATTTCTCCTCTCTTCAAACATAATTCATAATTTTTTATTCACATGTGTGGGGGTCTTTTGCTCTTTGATGTGTGTTTTTTCCCATTAGACTCTAAGTTCTGTGAGGGCAGACTGTGTCTATTTCATTCACCACTCTATTCCTAACACCAACAAAATGTTTTGCATACGATGAATGTTAGATAAATATTTGTTGAATGAGTAATTATGAAGGGTTCAAGCTACCAATTTAATTACTATGAATTTACAGGTGCTGGATTCTCTCCCTCCATCTCTCCCCCTCTGCCCTTCTCTAGGAAGCTTGGGAAAAGAATCAGTGTTAAATTCATAACATCCAGATTAGGCTTGGTCTCTTTCTGTCTGTAGCTTCACAGAAGAATGGAGATGTCTTACCCAATGGTTTTCTAGGAAAATCTACCCCCTAAAAGAGAGAAGAGAAAGAAGAGCAACATGGAGCCAAGTGGCAGGAGAGCAAAAGGATAAGTGTATCAGTAACAATCACAGTGTATGGAGTCACCAGGTGGCAATTCAATTCAAAAACACCGATCTCAACTAGATATGAATTCATATGCATTAGCAGGAATTTGTTCTGTTTATAATAACCATGGGAAAGAGGGGATTTGGGGGAGGAACACAAGCATAGCTTGTTCCAAAGAAACTGCTGGCTCTTCTTCATTGTACAGAGAAGTCCGGCTCTGCCAACAAGTAGGTAGATGAGACCCAGGTTATGCCATTTCTATCTATGGAAACAAAGAAACAAATAAAAAACCCGGACACCTCATCCTCCAGGTAACAAAGGGAGCCTGAAAACTAGACCTCATTACTTGGTCTCCAGATTGGGGTGCTCCCTTTGCATCCTGGATCCTAATGTACCTTCCGCCATATCTGTTGCCAATACAAATCTAAAGACTAGTATTTTTGATGTTGTGTAATAGGTATTTTAGATATATTAGCTCATTTAATCTCCCTACAACCCTATTATGTGGGTAGCATTATCCAAGGTGACAGTGAATAGGCGGTAGAGCCAGGATATAATTATGACCTGATTATTCTAAGGTTCATAGTCACTTCGCCAGAAGGGCCTGACTTGCAATCTGACAACTTTGAGGTCATTAGTAAAACCTAGTCCAGCAGTTTCTTAAATCGTGGTCCGCTGACCGCTCCATCAAAATCACTGGTGGTCTTTGTTAAAAATTCAGATTCCCTGGCTCTAAGACGGAAGGAATCAAGCAGAGGGGTGGGTGTCAGGAATTCGTACTTTTGAAAAGCACCTCCGAGTGATTCTCTTGCAGGGCATTACGGACGCAGATGATTTTTATGCATGAGGACCACACGCATGGGCTTCGGGTATTATCGAAAGATTACTGGGGCGCCTGGTTTGCTCAGTCGTTAAGCGTCTGCCTTCGGCTCAGGTCATGATCCCAGGGTCCTGGGATCGAGCCCCACATTGGGCTCCCTGCTCAGCGGGGAGCCTGCTTCTCCCTCTCCCGCTCTGCCTGCTTGTGTTCCCTCTCTCGCTGTGTCTCTCTCTGTCAAATAAATAAATAAAAATTAAAAAAAAAAAAAAGATTACAACATACCGCCCTGGCGGACTTCAGCCCACCTCAGCATCCTCTAAACGAATCTGGTCCCAGAGCCACCTCAGTCTCCAGCCTCAGGGAACTGAGCACGCGCAGTACTGTAGCTCCCAAACGCTGGGCGGGGCTTCCTAAGGCCGCGCCCCCTCGGTATCCGCCGGTGTCGGGGGCGGGGCTCTCCTTAAGTAACCTAATTCCGGCGTCTCCCCGCAGCTGTCCAGAGCCCCGCCCCCGAGCCCGGGACCAATCAAATGCCATGTTGCTGAAGCTCGGGGCCAATGCACAGGGCCGTCCTTTATTCCTCTCTGCAGTTTGAAACTGTCAGGTTGCTGCCAAGGTAGCCGCGGTACCGCTGTTGTTTCGCCGGCGGGGAGGCAGGCATCCGGGTTTGTGGAGAGGCGCGACGGTGGGTAGCGGCGCCGCCGCGGGCCCCACGTCCCCGGCGGAGGCAGTGGAGTGGGGTTGCAAGTGCCGCGGCTCGGGTTTCCGCTCCCGGGACTCGTACACCACGGAGCCGGGGGCGTCTTCCCCGAGACCTGGGCTGTGTGCTCTTCTGCGGGCCGACAGGGTGCGGAAGTTTTCCCTCCAAGGCGTCCGGGAAGAGAGGGCGGGAGTGAGGGGTACTTGAAGTATAGCGATTACTGTCGCCATAGGTTCCGGTTTTATTATTTCATTTAAAACGTAAGGGGAAAAGTAACCCTGGCTAACGCTTTAGGTTTGATTCAAACAAGGGTAGGCAAGAAGGTGATCGAAGAGCCCTTCTAGCCCTTTGGTTACTCACAACTGCTGTCCTCCTCTGCTTCTAGCCCCTTACGTGGGGCGGGGCTGGCGCATCCCCTCTCCTGCAGCTAAGATGGGTGAAGAGCGCAGGGACGTCACCCTGCTGCCAGCTTGCACGTTAATTCACTCTTCCTCTGTCTCTTGGGGTTACACTTGAATTCCCGGACCCCTCTCTCCTTATCAGCCAGATATTTACCAAGACGTAATTTGATTTCTTTGGCAATCGAGAAGTACCCACAACGTCTTATCTCGTGGTTTCTGGTACCTTGGGTTAGAGAATATTGGAAATTTAGCCAACTGATTAACATCTGCCGCCCATTAAAGCAAGCTTCATTTTTTTTCTCCTTTCTTTCTGAACCTAGAAACAGTAAGAAAATGCTACGGTTGTAGAGTTTCAAAGAAACTGTCGTTCCTTGCTGGCATTAAAGCAGGGCAGATGGAAACTTATGGCATAGTTTCCAAAAATACAGTAGTTGTTTTATGGCTGCAGTATCTATTCAGAGACTCTTTTTGAAGTCAGACCCAACTTTTCAGCTTATTTGTTTTTTGTGTAATCAGCACCAGCCCACCTCCATTCCTACTATCTACTGGGTATGCAAATACATCCTAAAAGAAGTGAATGAAAATAGAAATGAACCAGGTTACGGATTTGATGTCCGTGAAGCAGCCCTTCCTTGCTGGGCATGTGTGTGCTTATTTTATCCTCCCTAATTGGCTTAACTAAAGACAGTCATGCTGCGATTTAGTTTACTTATCACTTGTGTACACAGTAATACTCATTGAATAAAGCTAAGTTTCCATGAACAAGTCTCAACCTATGTTTCCATTCTAATATTGTACATTTCCCTGTGTCTGCCCTTTCTACTTCAGTTTCCTTATCTCATTTATTTTTCAGGCCGCTGTGATTGAGACCTGTTTCACCTTCCACTGAAATTGGTTAGGTAAATGTCTGCAACTTCCTTCCTGCCATGTTCAGGAGACCCCAATTTTCATCTTTCTTTGGCATCTGACTTTAAGCACTCCCTTCCCCAAGTTTTTATGATGCTTTTCTTTCTGATAATTCTACCATTCTGACCTCCTTTTCTGTCTTTGCTGGCTCTTCACTTCTCCTTTAAATGTTAAGTGTTTCTAGTTTTTAATCTCTTCTCACTACAGTAGTAGACCTTTAACTTTATTAGGGTTATAGTCCCCTCTGAACACATATTAGAAGCTAAGGATCCCCTTACTAGAAAAACACACATGTGCATTTATACTAAAAATATTGCATATAATTTGTATGGACCTCAGAGTAAGAACTCTTTCTCACACTCCTTTTCATGTGTGATCTTATCCTCTCCCATTTTCAGTATTTCCCATTATGCTGATGATTCCTCAAACTTTATCTCTAGCCTGTACCTCCAGGACAGAGCTCCCTCATTGCTTAACTCCAGAAAGCACCATTCATATTGTAGCCATTGTGAAGGGCGGTATCTGTGACTTCACTTCAGTGCCTCACAGGGGCCTCACACCCAGCTCATCTGACACTGAGCCCATTGTCCTTCCCCCCCCCCCAACCTGCTTACCTTCCTCCATGTCTTGCCTTGGAGAGTGGCACTATTATCCGTCTGATTACCAAGCCGGAAATCTGGAAGCCGTCAACATTACAATACAAGCCTTATCATGTCATCCCTTGTTTAAAACATTTCAATAACATCTCTAGAGTAGAGACAACATGTTTTTGACCTGACATTATCCTGATCTTCCATGTTCTGGCTGCCCCTTAGCTTGCCTATTCCATCCTTAGCCAAGCCTTGCTCTGCACCCTTTGCTTCAGCCTTACAATCTACTTTTGTTCCTGGCATACATTCCCGTGCCTCTGGGTCTTTGCTTCTGCTGCTCTAATGCCTGGCATATCCTTAACATCTTTTATCTGTCTGTCAGGTCTCAGAACCGGGTAGGTTCATCTCCTCAGTGAAAACCTACTCTGGCTCCATTCCCGCTTCTTCACCCTCATGATCCCACCCCATGAGAAATAGCTACTCCTTCCTGCTGTGTACCTCTGTTGTTTTAGGGTCTACTAGCTTTTATTTTGTTAGTCATTTATATTCTATATATGTCTGGCTTTCTGTACAGATTATAAAGTCCATGAGGACAGGGCTTCTTCATCTTAAATTTCTCACCATTGTCTTCCATGTAACTGGTGTTCAAATAGTTTGAATAGTTACTACTTGTCCTTTATGGTTTTTTTAAAAGATTTTTTATTTATTTGAGAGAGAGAGAAAGAGAACAGAAACAAGCAGGGGGAGAGGGAGGGAGAGAGGGAGAGAGAATCCCAAGGAGACTCCACGCTGAGTACCCAGTCCCAGGACCTCAAGATCATGACCTAAGACAAAACCAAGAGTTAGACGCTCAACGACTGAGCCTCCCAGGTGCCCCACTACTCGTCCTTTAAATAATTTATTTACGTGTTACTAAAAGTGCTTGTTTTATTTTTTTGGTTAAGACTTTCAACAATTTTTCTATGGCATATAAGAATCTATTGTTCTGTATAGTCTTGCTTTCCTTAAAATAATATTCCTGATAAGTTTCTCGAGCAAAGAATTTGCACAAATTGTTCATTCTCTCTTGGTTCAGTATCTTACAGGAAAACATACAGCACACAGGTTGCCACACATTGCTCAAGAACATTGATCATGGGGCGCCTGGGTGGCTCAGTTGGTTAAGCATCTGCCTTAGGCTCAGGTCGTGATCCTGGAGTCCCTGGATCAAGCCCTGCATCCAGCTCCCTGCTCGGTGGGGAGTCTGCTTCTTGCTTCTCCCTCTCCCTCTGCTCCTCCCCCCCCGCCCTCGTGCTCTCTCTCTTGCTCACTGTCCCTCTCAAATAAATAAATAAAATCTTAAAAAAAAAAAAGAATATTGATCACAATCGATTATTCTCAACAGACCCCATTGTGGATGTGTCTGACAAGCTCCCATTTCTCTTTAACCTTTCATATATTTGTGTTATCTCCTTGACTACATTTATAGTTTATGCAGAATGTCATCAGATGAAGAGAAAGGCTCGCTTCCTGTTATACAGAATGACTCTGACCGGGCCAGTTCTGTGTCTTCAGATCTTCAGGTAGGAAGACATGTCTAAATTTGTTGTGGCTTATTTAGTTTAAACAAGGGACAATATGAGGGAAAACTAGGAATACATTTTTCACTTATTCATGTAAATTTACATTTATAATTATGTTTTGTATATAGTGTATATCAAATTATACTAATACCAAATGTCGAGAATTATTTCACAGACTTTGGGACATACCTTACATTGTTTGAACCTTTCAGAAAATAATCATGAACTCTTCACTCTTCATGCAAAAGCTTCAAACAGCACAATGAGAGAAGCTGGAAATCTCAAGAAATTTCTTTTTTTCTTGAGGTTTTTTCATTGTAGCTATCTCCTGAATGCTGCATTCACTTTAATGCAAATTAGTACAATATCAAACCACCTGGGGACTTAGATTCCCTCGTGTTCTACTCGAGGTTCTAATCCCTGTTGCTACAACGTTCAGCGCATTCTGCTGCATAGGACCTGGACGGTGACAGATAAATGGTGTGGTTTTTACATCAACTGTTTTAAATTTCTTTTTATTTCTAAATGTTTTATTATCAGAAATACGGATTCAGATTTCTAGAATAGATTTTAAAAGAGAGAGTCTGATATGGTATATCTTGAGTTTTATAGTTCTGTCACTTACGAGGGGAAAAGCTGGACATTATGTTTTTGCCTAAATAAGAGTAAGTTGTTATTGACCCTGTATAATATGAGAAGAGTTTTAGGAAGATATTTTATGAAACATATATGTTCCTTTAATTGAAATTACAGATTTAGAAATTGGGAAGCTATTGGAAAAATACCTGTGACTATTTACTAGGATAAAAGTAGTCTGGAATTGTGGCGTAGATGTTTCATCCTTGGTTTCCCTTTGGATGTACTTCTACTAGTGCTGTCTTTTAAGTACAGTGCTTTCCTGCAGTTTTTATCTCTGACTTTTCCAAACTTCCTTCAGGAGAGAACTGATTAACTCATCAATACTTGTGATCGATTTTTAATAAATGTATTTTGGTCTTCATCCCTGTTTTTTGCACACAGTTTCAAAAACCTTTGAAATTTCCTAAATAATGAGAGTGATAAATGTGTTTGTTATGCTAACGATTTGCCTTTTGGACCCCACCTAAGGATAGAGGCTGGTTGCTGAGGAGCCAACCACATGTTCAGAGGGTTGGAACTTTTAGTCCTCCCAACCCTGAGCTCCAAGAAGGGGAGAGGGGCTGGAGATTGAGTTCGGCCACCAATGGCCAATGATGTAATCAATTGTGCATGTGTAATGAAGCCTCCATAAAAACCCAATGGAAGAGGGTTCAGAGAGCTTCCAGCTTTGGTGAATGTATAGAGATGCTGGGTGACTGGCTTTCTAGGAGAAGGCATGGAGGCGCTGTCCCTCTTCCCCATACCTTGTCCTGTGTCTCTTCCATGTGGCTGTTCTGAGTTATATCCTTCTATTATAAACTGGTAATCTAGTAAGTAAAATGTTTCTCTGAGTTCTGTGGGCTGCTCTAGCAAATTAAACCTGGGGAGGGGGATCTTTGGAACCTCCAGTCTGTGTAGCTGGTTGATCATAAGCTTAGGTAATGACTTGGACTTGCTACTGGTGTCTGAGGTTTGGGTTGGGGGAGGTGAAGTCTTATGGGACTGAGCCCTTACTCTGTGGAATCTGATGCTATCTGCAGTGGATAGTGTCAGAATTGAGTTGAATTGTAGGACACTCACCTAGTGACTGAGAATAGCTTGTTGCTGGTGGGAAAAAAACCCCCACACATTGTCGTTGTTGGGTTTAGAACCCTTTAAAAAATGTAAACACCTTGTAAGTTCTCAAGTTGTCAATTTGTCAGGAGACAAAGCTTTACATCAAAAGAATAAATCTCCGGGGCGCCTGGGTGGCTCAGTTGGTTAAGCGACTGCCTTCGGCTCAGGTCATGAACCTGGAGTCCCGGGATCAAGTCCCGCATCGGGCTCCCTGCTCAGCAGGGAGTCTGCTTCTCCCTCTGACCCTCCTCCCTCTCATGCTCTCTCTATCTCATTCTCTCTCTCAAATAAATAAATAAAATCTTTAAAAAAAAACAAAAAAAACAAAAGAATAAATCTCCAGAGTAGAATTTGAGAGAAATATGCCAAAAATAATTTTGTGTTACTGGTTACCGGCTTAGAATGTCAACCGAACTGAGATTCTGTTTATTAGTAACCCTCAGCTACCCTCAGCCACAACTCCATTAGTTTTCAGTGACAGTTAAAAACCTGCCTATATTTCCATCACTGGAAACATTTCAAAACATAAATACCAAAAATGATGTTAAATATAACATAAAATAACTATATGCTTTTACATATATAGTAAATATGTAAAACTAAACATTTAATCCTAAAGCCCCTTATAAATCAATATTCCTTCTAAGGGAGTTTTCTTCACTGTCTCAGTTATGTGAATGATTCATAAAACTATCGTTGATAAATGCTGAGGGATGGGCAGCATCCATGGTACTTACTGACTGATAACTTCCTCTAAGCACAACTCCACACTGTCAGCTGGTTGCCCTGACCTTACGTGGTGTGTATGGGTTCAGCTATAGTTCAGGGTCACACCAGTCCCAACTGTTGTTGGTCGGGAGCAAAATTACAAGTTTTGGTTGTTCCTTTAGGATTCTTGTTTACCTTAACACAGGTTATCTTTGACAAGTAAGAAAGACAATATTATTTATTTTGATCCTTAAATAAAAAATAGCGCATTTGGCCCATATCTACACATATGAAACTAAAATAGTTGTTTAAATACCTGATATTTTAATCTTACCTAAGATAAGTTAACATACATACATAGAATACTGTTAATATATACCTACTTACTTCTCCCTTAAGTCATAGTGATTGTTGTGGAAGCTTTGAAATATATGTTTGGTTTTTTTCTTTCTTTTTTTTTTTTTTTTCTTTTCTGATCCAGAACAGAGGACAGTTTAGGGAAGCTACAAGTTAAAGCCACTGACTTTTACTTCCCCTCCCTTTATAGGCAGGAAGTTGTAATAAACTAACTCTGACTGAGCAAAGCTGATTTGGCTAAATCTAGTTATAATCACCACCAACTAAAAAGTTAATTGACCTCAAAATACAAATACAGGATAGCCACTGTATTAGTTTGCTTGGGCTGTCATAACAAAACACCATAGATTGGGTGGCATAAACAATAGAAATTTATTTTCTCGTAGTTCTGAATGCTGGATGTACCAAAGCAAGGTCCGTTTCTGGTGAGCTCTTTCTTCTTGGCCTACAGACAGCTGCCTTCTCGCTGAGTCCTCAGCATGGCCTTTCCTCCGTGCACGTGCATGGGCCGAGAGAGAACTCTTGTCCTCTTTTCCTAGGACACTAATCCTGACATATCAGCACCCCACCCTTATGCCCTTATGTAACCTTAATTATTTTAGAGGCCCCATCTCCAAATACAGCTGCTTTGGGGATTCAGATTTCAGTATATGAATTTAGGGAGGACACAGACATTCAGTGTCTAACAGCCACATTTTTCTATGTTCTTAGCCAAAATCAAGTTTATTTTGGCTGTTTGGGAAGTATAATAGGGTGTTATTTTGGCCACTTTAACAGGAACCCAATAAGAGTTGCTTAAGTGAATTGCTTCAAAGCCTGAGCTGATATATAGCCTCTTGTAAGTCAGAGCTGATAGAGAGTCTTGAGTTCATCTGAGGACCCAGCTTCTTTCTCGTGTTGCTCCGCCATGCCCGGGGGTGTTGACCAGGTTTGCATCATCGGGTGCTAGCTCACCACCACCTCTAACCCATGGGAAGAGCTGAGTCGTAAGCAAGCAGCTTCCTTTCCAAGGACATGACCTGAAGTTGTACATTTCATTTCCACCCAGATCCCATAGACCAGGTCTCTTGACCATACCTGCTGAAAGGGAGGTTGAGAAATGTTGCTGCGTGGCCAGTAACAATCTGCCTAGGTCAAACCCTGAGGTTTTAGTAACTTAAAGGAATAAAGGGAAAACGGATGTTGCTGGACTGTTAGCCTTCTCTGTGGCCGGGAGTTACTAAACTTGAAATTTTATATATTTTGTTAGGACTGACTCAGTTTTATAGAAACCAGTAGATTATCTTGTGTATGGCTTCAATTTATCAAACTATTTGGGTATTTCCTTTTATTGTAAGAACTGGGAAACTGATGTGATTCAGGAAATATATTTTTAAAATTTAGATTATTTAAATCTAAAGAATTGTAGGGACGCCTGGGTGGCTCAGTCGGTTAAGTGTCTGCCTTTAGCTCAGGTCGTGATTCCAGGATCCTGGGATCGAGTCCCACGTCGGGCTCCCTGCTCAGTGGGAAGCCTGCTTCTCCCTCTGCCTACCACTCCCCCTGCTTGTGTTCCCTCTCTCACTCTCAAATAAATAAATAAAATCTCAAAAAAAAAAAAAAAAAGAGCCTCCTGCCTCGATGATAAGGATCATGTGAAATACTGGCTTTTATTTTCTGTCAGGAAATGTAAGTTTAAAACTCAGACATGTGTTTATTATTATAAAGGGGACGTCTCTGACAAAGGAGTTGACCATAGCAATATGAAGGTGATTCTTTTTAAAGATTTATTTATTTATTTTAGAAAGGGTGGGAGGGAGGGGCAGAGGGAGAGGGAGAGAGAATCTCAAGCAAACGCTGCGCTGAGGGGGGACCCACGCAGAGCTTGATCTCATTACCCTGAGATCATGACCTGAGCTGAAACCAAGACTTGGATGCTTAACCGGCTGAGCCACCCAGGCACCCCAAATTCTGATGATTGAGTTTTCTTTCTAATGATTCTCCCTTTGGAGTATCTGTTTCTCTTCTGCCATTAGCCATGACATGTAAAGAGCTGTGTTTGCTATGACTAACATTTACTGTATATAAGTAATCTATGTTAAATATGCAGATCAAGGCTGAAACTGAAACCAAGTCACTTCTTTGCATTTAATTACCCTAAAGACTAGCAGTTTTCAAACATCTACCAGCATAAAACCTCTTTTCAAACAATTTTACTTCAAATTCCAATAGGAAAAGGCTAAAGCAGAAATATAATTTTATAAATTTATGTTATAAATGCAAATTTGTGACATTTCTCACAAAGTCAGCAAAAACAGTGAAGCTGCCTTTATAAATGCACATTTGATGTTGGTGGATAAAGAAGCCCAGCATAGTTTGATTAACCTAAGTGACCTTTTTGCTTCTATATTTTATTTGGGCTACGTGATATCAAGAAAATTCTAATTCTTAATATAAGTAGTTGAAAATGGAAGCTTTTTTGTTTTGTTTTGTTTTGAGTATAGTTGACACACAGTGTTATGTTAGTTTCAGGTGTACAACATAGTGATTCAGTTTCTCTATGCATTATGAAAAATTGGTAACTTTTTAAATCAACTGATCCAAAGCATAAAAAAGGATTGATAGAAAATGTCTGATTCAGTGTTGAATCACCAACAAAATCTGTCACTTCTTCAAACTTTAATAAATATAAAAATCACAGAAGAAGCACCCAGAAGACTCAAATTTGGAATAAGGGCTAAAACTCTTTGTGTTATGATAAGCATGTAACACGGTCCGAAGTCGTTTGCTACCGCACAGCTCATCGCTCTCATAAGGAGGGACTGGCGCCCTCAGATGTGCTTGAGCTTGAGTGGTTTGAAATTGATGTGGCCACATGGGTTACAGTGTGTGTTTACCTGTACAGGTTACATGAGCAGAAATGTGTACAGGTGTGACTCCAAAACAAAAGGCTTGTGCAGAGCTACAACCATTCTAATCCATGACATGTTTACAAGACTTTGACATGTACATCGATGGCAGAAGCAGCTTTATTCCAACCAACACAAAAATTTAAGAATTTATACTTTAGGGCCTGTTAAAATTTAGCATATATGGTGTATCTTTTAGCTTATGCTCCTTTTATTACTGTTCGTAAAAGAGCTAAATAGCTTTAAAAATGAAATTTGAAGAAAACATTGTGGATCCCCTGAAACACCTTCTTGGAAACTAGTTTGAAATGCATTGATATTGACTACTGACGTGGTATACAAGGTAGTTCCCACTATAGAACTCGGAGTGCAGTAATGTCTGTCCCTTTGGGAAACACCAGGACACTTATTTCAGTTAACTGTGATATAACCATGGCTGGAAACTTGGGTGTGGTGGGTAGTTCAATATTCTTACTCAGAAAACCAAAGGGAAAAAGGAAGGACTGCTAATTTTCAAATAACTATACCAACCATATCATCATGGTTTTATTAAAGATAATTCTAGACAGAATTCACTTAATTCACCTCAGCAGATATTGACTATGACCCTTCAAAGAGGTAGTTTTAAACATTGGTTATCTTCACACTGAAGATGAATCCAAATAATAAAACAGTTATGACTAATGAGATGATAGTTCTCTATCTGAACTAAACTTCTTATGGAGAAAAATTAACACAAAATAATCCTTTAGAATAATAACATTTAACATTCTTGAAAACCTTCCCCCCAATTTTTTTAATGCAAAGATATTGTCTGGGTCCGTGCGTGAGACTCTTAAAAATGACTCCTTTTAGTAGAAATATTTGTTACATCATGACCAATCCCTTGTTAACAGAGACTAAATTCCACTATATTTTTTAGTTCACAGATACCATTTTTTTATTTGGCTAAAGAAATAGCGAAGTATCTATGTTAGGAAATTCCAATTTTTTTTAAACCTGAGGAATATTCTTGTAAGGTCTATACTTTATAACCTTTATGTTTTATCACTCCTTTCTCATGTGCCATGAAGGTGTCAGCAGGTAGAGTGGAATAGGTTTGCATTCATGTTCTCTTTTTATCTTCAGTATTTGTTCTCTTCCAATATTTCCCTTATACTCTTTCCATGCTATGAAAAGAGACTCAGGGTTGTTGCTGAGTGGGTTGTTGGATTGTGGCTGTCATTAAGCAGAGTCAAAACTCCTTTTCATCCCTAGACTGTCCTGATGTGAAGTCTTTGGAAGCAATATCTTTTTTTTTTTTTTTTAAGATTTTTACATTTATTTGTTAGAGGGGGAGCACAAGCAGGGGGGTAGGGAGTGGGAGAAGGAGAAGCAGACTCCCTGCTGAGCAGAGAGCCCGATGCAGGGCTCCATTCCAGGACCCCAGGATCATGACCTGAGCCAAAGGCAGACGCTTAACCAACTGAGCCACCCAGGCGTCCCTGGGAGCAACATCTTCAAACTAAGTTTCAGAAAAGCAGAGAAGTGGCTAACCGTGTCTCTGCCCACCTGCAAGTAGCTGCCAATTGAGGGAGCGCTCTTCTGCCTTGGAGCTGTTGATTGGCTTCAGACAAGTTCTCTAGGTAACCTTTGTGTCACCATTGCAAAATTGACATGCTGAAGGAATCGTACTAAGGTACTATCACTGGAAGAAATCTGGATAGGTTTGTTGGATTTGTTTTGTTTTAAGAAAGTACACATTCCTTATGACATGGGAATACTATTTTGAGAACTGAAGTAGAGAACATCTTTAACTGGGCCTTTATTGTTCTTTGCCTGAATGTCCATTGTGACTGTGTTATAATACATTCTTTGTTATTGGCTCCTCACAGGAAGAGTATGAAGAACTGCTTCGTTATGCTATCGTGACTCCAAACATTGAGTCAGGTGCTTCACAGCCATATCATTCTAGGGGAGAGGTGGGACCAGATGTGAGGGTTCCTACTCTAATTGATGATATTCTTCATAATCAAGGTTATGTATATTTTTAAAGATATCTCTTAATTTAAGATGTTACTGAGCTCATGAGTGCTGTTGACTTAGGATGGCAAAAATGCTTCTCCAGTGATTCTTCTCAGTCAGTCCTGTGTATCACTATCATCTGGGGGAAATTTTTCCATTTTATTATGTTACTCTTGGCTCTTAATGTGACAGCTGGATTTTTATATGAACTTTGATTATTACTTTTATGAAAAACAATAAAGTTAAAGCAGCACGGTAGCCGTTGTGTGTCTCTCAGTGGAGTATACTCAATCTCTACTTGTTCCAGTCAGTGATATACCAGGCTTATCTTGGAAACTAAGTCCATAGAAGTGGCTAACCACTTAAAGATGGTCCATAGGCAGCCCTCAGAACCTTTTAAGTGTATGAACCATTGCTAGTAGGACTTTGTTGGCAGCATTTCTGTGAGTACGGAAGACTGGATTATCACCACAAAGGTGAGCCCATTTTGTACTATGTCAGAGACAGAACTGACAGCTAATATATACCGGGAGGTATACTGATAGATGAATGGAAGGTGGAAAAAGGAGGATGAAGCTCCTTTCACCTATCCATTATTTATTCAGTAAAGTACAAGATCTCAGACAGCTCACTCTAAGTAAATATTCCTTAAAAGGGCACGGAAGGCCCTCCTACGATGGCCCTGGCAATGGCAGTTATCAACAAAAGGCATAACTCCAATGATCTCTCCTTGAAGGCACGTGACACAGCCTATTCGGAGTCAGCCGGCTCCTGGGTTTCTGGGCGGTTACAGCCCTGGTATTCGGTTCCTCTCCCTCTGTAGACATGAAGTTTTCATTGCTCTTCAGTCTTCAGCCTACTGCACTGGATCATCAAATCGGGCCAGAACCTAACACTGAAACATGCTAACACTGAATATTTTCTGCCCAAATTTTAATTGATTTCAAAAGATAGGACCCTGGGATTTATTCATTCTACATCAGTGATCTTGACCATGTTTTGATTACACTAGGTACCTCAGCCTATAGTTCCTACTGAGCAAACCCAAAGTGCTGCATACTGTCTTATAAAATGTGTAAATAGGCAATCCATGTGTTTGCCCTCTGTGCCTCTACCCTTTGGGTGGTCACCAAAACCTTGTTTCCTTTTCCCCTGGCTGCAGAACTCCCGTACCATTGTTCCCAGTGACACAGCAGGGAGTCCTTCCCTTGCCCTGACTCTCCAGCCTTTCAAGGTCATCACTTGGGGTTCAAGACCCCCGTTCTTTTCTAGCATGCAAGATAGGATTTATTCATTACTACTCTGCCTTTTCCACAAAGGGTTTGAGATCTAAGCATACAACATGCAGTGAATTTAGATATCCCGATTCACACGTAGACTTGGTTAGAATTTATAAATTTATCATCCCATTTTCTCCATTGCTGTTGCTTGGTATAAGCAGGGTATATGGAAACTGACAAAGTATACATAAGCCTCCAACACGGCCATCCTTGTGAAGTTTTCCCCCATTTTCTTTTCACCACGTATTGACCGATGGTTCCTAAGTTGGAAGTGAGGCAGTCCCTGTTCTGGGGGAAGCGGTGTCACGTTAGTTTGATAGTAGCTAGTGAAAAGCAGCAGGCCCCTGGAAATATCTGGTGTTGTAAGATAGCATAGCTTCTTCTAAATTCTGACGTCATTCATGCACTTAGTCTCTTAGTGCGAATTGAATGCTATAGTAGGCTGAATTCTCTCTCATCTATATTTGGTGGGTAAAGTTGAGTTTACTAATGATACAGTAAGACATTTTCTAGTCTCAGATTTTTTCTTTTTTCTTATTCTTTGTCTTAGTGTTCCTCTTTCCCCAGCATGTTGTATTTTGCTTGTTCTAAAATCTTAGATACTGCTACCTTCTTAAATTAGGTATGTGCAATTAGGCATTTGATATAAGAGTCGTTTGGTTTAATAAAACAATTTTTTTTTAATTTTCTTTTCAGCAGGAAATAGCCCTGTAGTAAGAGAAACAAAGATGGAAGTTGGAAAAGGATGTGATTTAAATATTTCAAGTCATTCAAAGACAGATGGTATGACTTTTCCTTAGCTTCTTTTTATTCATATACAACATTGTGTGCTTTGGTGAATATTATTTGTGTACTAAGAGGAATAATTTCAGCATGTTATTTATTGGCAGGATTTTTAAATGTTGCTGTTGCTAATTTATTAACTAATAACTTTAAAATAATTTCATAAAATTCCAAAATAGTACAGTTAAGACAGGTTAATCTATTCCAGTGTGTGGCATCCTTTCTTAAAACTGCTAGGTTAGAGGGCAAATACTTTAAAAGAATTATTGGGATGTCAGAGAGTTTGGCCAGTTTAAATGTTTTCATGAACCAGTGCATTATTTCCCAACATTCAGGCATTTGTGTATGATTTTTGTCCTACTTTCATACCACTTGTTCTCTCATTTTGTGTTTTTCTTCAGATATATCGACTTTTCACTTAAATTCATTAAAAGGAAAATTTGTGTCATTGCTGATTATCACATAAAACTAATATGCCCTTTTTATAAATAGAACACATGGTAAAAATAGATGGAAGTGAAACAAAATTAGTAAGTTTTGATTGGATACCACTGGTGGTGTTAGGTTCAGCCTGAAGTCTGCTTTTTGTCTGTTGAAAGGCGAGAGGAGCAAGCGTTACAGAGGTTATAAAAGCATACTAGCACCGGATTGAAGCTTTTTCTTTGACACAGAATGTTTAAAATAATTAAAATAAAACACTTTCCTTGCCCTGTGACTCAATGTTATATAATGTTCAGGCCATTTAAGCCACCACATAAAAATGCCTCTATCCTTTAGTTTCCTCACTTGTCAATAAAAGGCTTGGGCAGTGTAATCCCTGGGGGATGTTTCAAGTTCTTCATTTATGTGATTCTTTTTTTAAAAGATGAATAAATGTTTAAAAATAAAAAATAAAAAGCAGAGCCTCTCGCTTTTCCCATGAGTGCAGATCTTACTAGTGAAATCCAGTAAAAGAGAACATTCATGTACTTTGTCACTCTGCTTTATTCTTTGGGTTTATTCTTCAGAATATGTAGGTAATATCTCATAGTTGACTAGCCTAAACCATTTGTTGATAAATTTTTATGTAAAAATATATATTAGGGAATGATTTTCCCTTTCGCAAAGAATTCTTGATGTACTTTTAAGTAACAAGTTCTACAGTAGCTTTATCTTTGACTCATCTCATTCACTAAGGAAGACAGGGAGGCCTTTTAATCTTGATTATTAGGACCCTCATAACAAAAGCAAGATCTGTGAGAAATGGTAATTCCAACCTGCACGTGTAATAAAATAGTAACCTTTTCTAGGTTGTGCTTTTTAAGGTAGATGCCAGTTCTTCTGGCTCTGGCTTTCACACCTACCTCCATCCCCCACCCTCCCACCATGTATGTGGGCAGAGGGTGGGAATTTTATGTATATATGGATATACATATATAGATATGTATATTTTCACCTATATGTTGAAGGCCAACAGTGTGCCTTAAAACTGATTATCTGATATAACTAAACTACTAGTCTCTTTCTACTTAGAGAGTTGAATTTTAGTGGTGTTAAAACCCATACCAGTGTTTGACATAAGGTAATAATACATGACCTGTATACAACCACTGGGACCTTGGTTAGTTGCTTAACCCTTTCTGAACCTGTTCGCTTATCAGTAAAGTGGAGATAATAATGCCTGTCTCTTCGGGCAGCATGTATTAGGAGAGCTCATCTTTACAACACTTATTACACGAACATAGTAAGCACTTAGTAACTGTTGATATGATGATGTGGATGATAATACCTTCAGCTCAGGCTGGACCTGGATATATGAAGCATCCTTGATTGGGATAGAGGTCATTTTGGGGGAGGGAGGGTAGGAGGCATCCCATGCTTTTCAGTCCCAAATCAGTGACAGTACTGAAATTACAGTATTAATTTCAGCCTAAGTGCAGTTTAAGAGTAAGCACACGGAGGGGCACCTGGGTGGCTCAGTCGGTTAAGCGGCTGCCTTTGGCTCAGGTCATGATCCCGGGGTCCTGGGATCGAGCCCCGCATCAGGCTCTCTGCTCTGTGGGGAGCCTGCTTCTCCCTCTGCCTCTGCCTCTCTCTCTCTCTCTCTCTGTCTCTCATGAATAAATAAATAAAATCTTAAAAAAAAAAAAAAAGTAAGCACACTGAAAGGTCATTTCTCCGCATTTTGTTCCGCCTCCGTGGGTAACTGACATCTCACCCTCCATTAGAACTCCTTACATTTGGGTTATATCCATCCTCCAACCTGACCACCACACCTTTCCCTCCTCTTCAGGGTCATCGCCAGTGTCGTCACCGAGGAAGCCCTCACACCCAGTCATGGATTTCTTCAGTTCTAACCTCTTAGGTGACTCTTCCTCACCAGCATCTATTTCTAGTCATGCAGATGTCCATGAAGTCGTTGTGAGCGATTTTCTTGTTTCGGATGAAAACCTTCAGAAGATGGAAAACGTACTGGATCTTTGGAGTTCAGGGCTTAAGGTATTACACTTGTTCAATTACAGTCGTTTAATATGTAGGGTAACAGTTCTACTCTTGATCCCACTCTTTACTGTTTTCTTTGAATCAAAAGATTTTGTGAAAAGAATCTTTAGTTTCCTGAGAAGATCAGTCCAGTGTTTTAAATCTGTACTTCTCAATCTTTAATGTCCATACGAATCATCTGGGGATCTTGTTAAGCTGCAGCTTGTCGTTCAGTTGGTTTTGACCTGGGCCCGAGATTATGCAATTCTAAAAGCTCCCAGGGGATTCTGTTAGTTCAGGACCTGTACTTTGAATAGCATACTTTTTAATAGTTGCTGGAACAGCTCTGCGTGTTCCACTGCATTTCTCAGATATTTTTAAAAGACTCAGCGTATGTGTGACAGAGAAACGTAGTGAACCCTTACCATTATCATAGCTGTGACTAATGGAAATGTCTCCTTTTATATGAAACACAAGATCCAATTTTAGCAACATATATTCATTTTATAGCTGCTTTTAGCAACCACAGTGTGTAACTGCTAAGACTATAAAAACTGATTATTTTAGTGATATTATTGGCCTCTAAATAAAGTATTACAGAAATGGATTTTTTTTTTTGCGCTATTTAACATATAATGGAGAAAATGACAGTTTTTCTGAAACATAGTTTGAGAAAACTGATTTCACATTCACAGTGAAATTACGGTCATGAGAGTTCTACGGCATTTGTATTTCTCTGTTATTTGGAACCATAAGTTCTAGAAATAATCTTTTAGTATAGTTGTTAGCATTTTTCCCCCCTTGGAACAGGTGTCATACTGCTAATCATGGTGCAAGTCCAGTGGAGGAGCTACTGCCAGTCATTTAATTTGTTCTATGTTCAGTTAATCATATTGTTACCCAGTTTCCTTGATAACATGATTATTTGGTACTGTTACTTATGCCAGTCAGTAGGGTGAAAAGGGATCAGACTTAGCAATTTGTTGTAAGATGTCCTTTGTGATAAATGATTTGGGGGAAGAAAGCATTAGCCCCATGGTTTCCACTATCCGCCTCTATCTAAATAACTTCCCATTCCTATGGCTGAGCCTAGGCCACACCCCTGCATTTCTGCTTTCCCCGATCCATCTTGATATGGACATCAAAGTCCTTGAATAAACAAAGTATCTGTTTACTAGTCAAGGAGACCTGAAAATTTTTTTTAAACAACAAGGTTTCATACAAAATAAAATAGGGGGAAAAAATTCATTTCCCTAGTATGGTGAATGTGAACTGAGAAGAGCCGTGACTGTTGAACTTGGAAACGTTTTCATTAGTGGTTTTTATAAATAGCTCTTATGTTGATTGCTTGTTCTGATTATTTTTAATGTTTCTTAATTTCAGTGTAATTTTAAGAAGCAGTGTTAAAACTGCTTAATTGCTGGTGTATTTATTTTTCAGACAAACATCATATCTGAACTAAGCAAATGGAGACTTAATTTTATTGACTGGCACCGAATGGAAATGAAAAAAGAGAAAGAAAAACATGCAGCACACTTAAAACAACTGTGCAACCAGATCAACAGCTTAAAGGAGCTGCAAAAAGCCTATGAAGTTTCCATCGGGAGAAAAGATGAGGTCTTCACTTTTAAATTTCTTTTTAAGTAAGATGCAGTAAAGATCTTGCTAGGTAATAAATGCCAGGAACTGATTATTTAGGTCATACAGGATACAAAGGGAAGATTGTTTCAGAAACTGGAAAAAAAAAACAAACAGATGCATAGAAATAAGATACATTCATCCTATTAAACATGCCAAGGTCATGTCATTTAATCTTTGTCACCAACATCAGCGTGCTTAAAGTTTTAAAAGTGCATGCTAAATGTGGGGACACTAATTGTTTTCCCTCAGTCTTCTTTCCTAACTGCTCTTAAGAGAACATCATGGAACCAGCATTACCCCCATGTTAAACCATGTTTTTAGGGGCCATTTTAGGTATCTCACATTTTATTTGTGATATTTCTTTATTCATGGACGAAGTTTTTTTCCTTTTATTATAGGCTCAGCATTTTTTTTTTTTTTTTTTTTTTTAAGAGAGAGCTCAAGCGCCCTAGGGGTGGGAGGGACAGAGGGAGAGGGAAAAAGAGAATCTCAAGCATGTTCCATGCCCAGGGAGGAGCCCAACGCTGGGCTCCATGTCCCCACCCTGAGATCATGACTTGAGCCGAAATCAAGAGTCAGAAGCTTAACAGACTGAGCCACCCAGATGCCCCAAACAGAGAATACTTTTTACTTCACTTTCTTTTAGCCTCTTAAGAATGAGAGAGTAAGGTTCAGGTCTTTGCTGATTTTGTGCCTCCCAACAGCACCTTCAGCAAAGCAGAATGGGCAATATATCCACTGCTTCCCTCCCCACCCCCCCAACTCCCAACCCGAGGATGGTGGTTTTCGTAGGTGACACCTCAGCTACTTGTCTGCAGATACAGCATTCACTGTTTTAATGAGCTAGATAAAGATTATTTATTTTTTAAAATATATATTTATTTTGGTGTTCAGGGTATCCTGTAAAATCAAACATTTTATATAGTTTACTTTTTTGAAACAATAGATACTAACATCAGTCATTTTCTCTATTGCCCTCAAAAATCTGTCGTAAGGTTTTAAAATATTTGATTTGATTTGATTTTAAAGATTTTATTTATTTGAGAGAGAAAGAGTGCACGAACAGCGGGGAGGGGCAGAGGGAGAAGCAGGCTCCCCGCTGAGCAGGGAGCCCAACACAGGGGGCTCGATCCCAGGACCCTGAGATCATGACCTGAGCCGAAGGCAGATGCTTAACTGACTGAGCCACCCAGGTGCCCTAAAATATTTTAAATATATATTTTTAAATTTCAAAGTATCACACACAAGGGTGTACATGTGTCCAGTTTGAAAATGAATAAGATGAACAGCTGTGTGCCACCGTAGAGCTCAAGAAATAGAATATTCCTGGGGCGCCTGGGTGGCTCAGTTGGTTAAGCGACTGCCTTCGGCTCGGGTCATGATCCTGGAGTCCCGGGATCGAGTCCCGCATCGGGCTCCCTGCTCGGCAAGGAGTCTGCTTCTCCCTCTGACCTTCCTCCTTCTCATGCTCTCTGTCTCTCATTCTCTCTCTCTCAAATAAATAAATAAAATCTTTAAAAAAAAAAAGAAATAGAATATTACTAATGTCTTAGCATGTGTACCCTTTTCCACTTTTGAAAATTATTTGAAGAAGAGCCAGAATAAATGTCTCTCAGTAAATATGCCCAATTTACTAAATCTGGCTTTAATGTGGCCAATTTAAAAAATATATTTCAGCTACTCAGTTCTTTGTAAGATAGAATATCATTTTAGGATTTAAAAGCCTGCATAGATTTTTTTTTTTTTAAAGAACAGGAAAACTGAAGAAGTACCTTATAGTATAACTATTGTTTGCTTTTATGAGTTTGTTGAATCCAGAAAATCCTTAGCAACTTCTAATCCAAGGTACCGAAGGTATTTAGGGACCAGAAAGATGTTTAAAACCTGGGCCCTACCCTCAAGTCTAATGAACAAAGACTTTCTGTATACGTAACAAAATATTCAAATGTGTAGTTGTCTTTCTTGAATTAAATATCAATGACCATATTAATTTTCATATACATAAACTTTTTTTGATGATTGCAAAGATACACATAATGAAGATTTTTCTTTTCTCTTTTGTTCCTCTTCACTCATTGATATGTAGTGCATTCATGTGGTCAAGTTTTTTGGTCTTTTTAAAGATAATAATGAGGTTAACTGGATTAATTACTAGTGATGCAGAGGTATTCTCTTGGGCATTTTTTGATATATGAGAAAATCACTTTACCAATTACTGTTATTGTAGCATCACAATAATTGGGTTAATTGCTGTTTACAGGTGATTTCTAGCTTGTCCCATGCCATAGGCAAGCAAAAGGAAAGGATAGAGTTGATGAGAACATTCTTCCACTGGCGAATTGGCCATGTTAAATGCAGACAGGATGTAAGTATAAAAACAAAACGGTAACTGACAGATTTTAGACTTCTGAACTCAAACGCGTTTAGGATCACATTTTGAGTTATTGTTAAAGCCAAAGAAAGATTTGTTTTCTAATAAATCAAAATGAATTTATAATTTAATGTTGCTCTTATTTCAAAGGATTTTAGTATAGTTTGGGAAAAAATACCTCATATTTTGTAGACCAATTAATCTGTCATTTCCTACTTCGTAGTAAGTTAGTAAGGATTATACTTGACTTATAGATGCCCTCGTCATGGAACCCCTTTAACAAATTTAATGTCAGATGTGATTATGCGGAGAAAGAATTTATAATCTTTAACATATCCTATGCTTCTTATATTGTTTCTACTTCAGAAATGCCTGAATATATCCTCTTCATAAAGAGGCGGTACTGTATCAATACATTATAAAATTGTGTGAATGTTTATTGTGTAGACTTGCCTTAGAGAATCAAAGAAAGCCATGTCTGTATAGCTTTATAAAAATTATCCTTCGTTTGTTTATAATTTAAACTTGAACGTCTTTATTTTCATTAACTAAGAGCTGAATCAGTATAGAAGAGTAAATATAAACTAAGAATAGTAAATTACTGTATCAGAAGTGGAAAAGTATGAGAACATATGTATATCCCACAAGAAGACAGAGTAGAGAGACTCAAAAGAGTATAGGGGATAGATGTGTGTTTTATTTGATGCTCATGTGAGCCATAGAGTGATCTCTGTGTGTTTACTTCTAAGAGATTAATACTTAAGGAAAAGGCTGCTACTATCATGGAACAGGATTTCTCTTTAAAGGGTATTTTCTAGTGCTTTCATTGTTTTTTATTAATCCCAGTAGATTAATTCTACACTAGGCATATTGAAAAGAGCTCTTTAAATGAGAATGCCATATTTTGAAAGTGAAATACTGAGAATATGTTTAAATGTGAGTGAAATAGTTGAGACTGCCATCAGTTTTTGAATAGCTTTTTAAATTTAAGAAAATTGAAATTGGAACTACTTCTTGAAAAGAATTTAACTTCACTGATGAAAAGAAGACTGGCGTACGCTTGCGTCTGGAGCTGTTTAGCACTCTGTATGGTGGCAAAGCGTGTGAATTAAGTGAGCTTTGCTTACGGCGGCGGCCGCCCAGGCGAAGAGAAAGCAGCGGCACCTGAAGCCACAGGCACCACCCCCTGGGCCTTGCAGCCTCTCTCTCGGTCGTCTCGGCCTGCTTTCGGCTAAAACGTGCTGCAGATTCATCACTCCTAGGGCGAGTTCCTCGTTTCCTTTCATTTGTTTTTTTGTTTCGTTTTTTCCTCCTAACCTGATTGGTGGCATACAGCGGTGATGTAAGGATAAGCGCTGAGGTTCCGAAATGAGGCGAGGCTGGCTTTTCCCTTTCTACTTGGGTGACCTGGGCGGGTTACGTAACCTCTCTGAGCCTGTTCTGTCTGCAGATGAGAATAACGTGATCACACAGGCTTGGATGGTAATGTATGCACGCTGCTTACCACAGGGTTACATTATGTTTTTGAGGATCCCTGCCAATGTATTTACCAGTCATTGTGTTTTTGAGGTTGTATATTACTTTCATTTAGGTCTATGAAGGTAAACTAGCTGACCAGTACTTCCAGAGAACTTTACTGAAGAAGGTCTGGAAAGGCTGGCGGTCCGTAGCACAGAAGCAGTGGAAAGAGGTAGTAGAACGAGCTTGTCAAGCAAGAGCGGAAGAAGTTTGTGTCCAGATTTCCAATGATTATGAAACCAGAGTTGCTGTGGTAAACTTCTTTTCATACTTTGACTTTCTTTTAATAAAAATTAAAAAGATAAAAAACTGTTTATAGTTAGGCAGAGTAACCCATTTCCAGTTCCATTTAGTGCCATGTAGGTTCAAATTAGACATCCTGGCAGAGGACACTAGCAAGTCAGACCTACAGACTAACTTAACTCTGACCCCCAAATTTGTGTTGGCTCTCCTGCATGTACGTTGCCCTTGGAAATGTAAATCACCTATAGACCCTTATATTTCTAAGAAAGCATGCTTTCTTAAGATTCCTCATTTGGCCTTTATTGAGCCAAAAGTAAAGACCCAAAACAAAAATGTTTATCCTTATGTTAATTTAAGTAAACTATGTTCTGATAAGGTTGATATAAAGCAGTTGCATATAAACTGAAGTTATTTTCCCATTGACATAAACATTGTTTCCGAAGGAAAATATTTGAGACCCAAAATGAAATAAAAATGCAGTAGGCCTCTTGAAATCAAATAGTAAAAGAAAACCCTTTTTCATCATTATAGCACTAAGTTCTTAATGTTAAAAATAAGATTCATTGTACAAATAATTTTCTGCAATTCAAAATGACATGCGAAAAAAAAACAAAAAATGCAGTCCCTTCAGATTTGGTCTATGGGAAAGAGTGTTGTACTTAATGTCACTTTGCACTTTAAATTCTATAGATAACGTTTAAAAGGAAGGAAGGAGAGGGAAGGAAGGAGGAAAGGAGGAAAGAAAGACTCTTTTTTTTTTTTTATTTGAGACAGAATGAGAGAGAGAGAGCACATGAGAGGGGGGAGGGTCAGAGGGAGGAGCAGGCTCCCTGCCAAGCAGGGAGCCCGATGTGGGACTCGATCCAGGGACTCCAGGATCATGACCTGAGCCGAAGGCAGTCGCTTAACCAACTGAGCCACCCAGGCACCCGGAAAGAAAGACTCTTAATAGTGCATTTAGGTATTTTTTTCTGAAGAGATGAGAGTCTGTGGCTCTTAATGTATTTTGTTTAATAAGTTTTATGGTAAGAAATTACGTATCTGTTTGGTATAATTAAAACACATCAGCAAGATTTGGTGGGACCGGCATGAAATTCCCCTTGTTTGAAACTTGATTTTATGGTTAGAAAAGAAAATGATTTTTTGATAGAAACACTAGAGGTAAAATGCACCTTTTAAAATAAATTGAGATACATAGCAGAAGACGTATGTGGTAAAGTGTTTTTAGTATTTCACATAAAAATAACTTCAGAGCTTGACAAGATGGCCACACTGCCAATACCAGGAAGTACTCCTGCCACTACTCCAGCCCTGGCCCCGCCCCCAGCCCCGGCCCCAACCCTGGCCTCAGCACCAGCCCCAGCTCCGGCCCTGGCCCCAACCCTGGCCTCCACACCAGCCCCGACCCCAGCCCTGGCCTCCGCACCAGCCCCAGCTCCAGCCCCGACCCCAGCCCTGGCCTCCACCCCAGCCCTGGCCTCCGCCCCAGCCCCAGCTCCGGCCCCGGCCCCAGCCCTGGCCTCAGCTCCAGCCCTGGCACCGGTTCCAGCTCCAACGCCGGCTCCAGCCTCATCCCCAGACCCAGGGGCTAAAGCAGCTAGGACCGTGGCTCGGATCCAGACCCCCAGCCCTCTTCCCTTACCCCGCAGCCATATGGTGCAGCCACACCAGGTCATTTTGGCATCCATTGTGGAGAGCCACGATGCAATGGGAGCATTGCCCCAGTTATTAGGACCCTGCTGAGAACTGTTGCCATGCATTCAATGGAAGTCACTAACAGCTTCTTTTCAGTACCTCTCAATGAGTCAGAAGATGAGGTAGCTGTTGACGTGAAATTCGCTAAGAACAGGTATGAATTACACAAGAAAGTCTCTCCAAATGAGCTCATCCTGGGCCGGTGTGGCGACAGGCCATGATGTCACAGAGCACCCTGTGCTGATACATGAGTACTACGGCAGGGTAGTCCCCATCCCCATTCACCTCATTGTGGACACGAGCCTCCATGAGCATCAGGGCCTAGGTCAGCACTTTAATGGGTATCCCTGGGAGTACCCTGGGGGTGATGTTCACACCTCTGACAATGAAATATTCATATTAGGACACTGAACACATTGGAGTCGACCTGATCTTAACGACCTCTTTGAGCCCCAACCAGGTGTTCACACTCTCAAGCAATCTGCAGCAAGTAGGAGGAGCATCAGTTCACATCCCGGATGCCCTAAGCACAGGGTTGCAGTATACAGAGGATGTGCTGTCCCAGAAGGTGTCATCTGACAGTACTGTGGGCCGTTCCTTGAGGAGCCTGGTTAACCAAGTACCCAAGATAATTCCCAGTGACTTTGACACCATGCTCAACAGCTACTTGGCCAATCTCACAGAGCCACAGATTGCCGTCACTGAGAAATTTATAAACCTGTGAATGGGCCCCAAGCAGCACTCCGGCCAGTCTGGGCCACCCTAGGACTCAGAATGGAGTGAGGTAGAATGGTTTCCTTGTGGTTTGGGCCACACTGAGTCAGTCAACTCCTTGTGACTCTAAATAAACATAGCCTGCCTTTTGTAAAAAAATAACTTCACAATGTAAGTCTATTTTTTGAATTATTAATATCCTTCCTTGTATCTCAAATTTTTTTCTTCTTTTTAAAAATTCCCCTTATTTAGTTATCTGGAGCTTTGGAAAATGCAAAAGCTGAGATTCAAAGAATGCAGCATGAAAAAGAACACTTTGAAGATTCCATGAAGAAAGCTTTCATGAGGGGGGTGTGTGCATTAAATCTCGAAGCCATGACTATATTTCAAAACAGAGGTGATACAGGTTAGTATTTTGTATAAGGTTCTCTGCCTACTTTCAAAAAGGATTTGAGGAGATTTCAGTGATTGGTGTGGTCTATAGTACTGATTTTCTGCAATGACTGTCTTGTCCCGGTACTGGTATTTTTAACTTGATGGTGTCATATCTTTTTAAATCTGCCATGAAAATTCACCCAGTTTTGGTTACTTACGGTATCTTAGATCTGATCGAGTAAACTGTCAAATCTTAAGTGTTTAGGCTCAATGTTAAAATGATGTTTTGAATACAAAACATCATTTTAAGTCTCTTTTAACTAATAATTGCAATGCTTTCAAGTACAAAATTTTTATTTATTTATTTATTTTCTTAAGTAGCCAAATTCCTTGGACCATTTTGTTGATTAAATATTTATCTAGTCACCGTTTCCCATTTTAAAAATTGCTTGTTTTCAATTTAAGAGAGACCTCAACTAAAACTGATTTTCAGCAAATATAGGCCTGTGTACAGAAGTCAAGTAAAATAATTTCATTTCAAGAAAAGAAAAGTCCATGTTTTAGCTGAAATCTGTGTGGTTTATGTGGGTGTTTCTTCAGCAGGGCTTAGAATAGCACATGACTAGAGTCTTTGCCACTAATTTGGACTGAGGCCTATTTTCCTTAGTGGGTTTTAGTTTTCTTCTCTGAACAAAGAAAATAATATAAATCTTCCCTACCTGCTTCACAGAGGGTTCTTTTGGAAATGCAATGAAATATAATTGGAAGCTCTTTAAAAGACAAAACATGGGGCGCCTGGGTGGCTCAGATGGTTGAGCGTCTGCCTTCGGCTCAGGTCATGATCTCAGGGTCCTGGGATCGAGTCCCCCATCGGGCTTCCTGCTCCTTGGGAGCCTGCTTCTCCCTCTGCCTCTCTCTCTCTCTCTCTCTGTCTCTCATGAATAAATAAATAAAATCTTTAAAAAAAATAAAAAATAAATAAAATAAAAGACAAAACATACTTTGACATATAAGATGATAGCAATGATATAATTATTGCTGTCTTGATTCAAGTCAGCCTGTTTTATGTAAATACATGAACATTTTTTGCAGTGTATCCTCATATTAAATCATATTTGAGATTTGCAGTTTATCAATGAGACAATTTCATTTTGTAACATCAACATTCCAGTACAGTGTGAATTACTTTTCTGTGGTTGTCATACCTTCATTTTAAAGCATCTTCAAACATTTATTATTTAAATTGTGTGTGTTGTTGATACTAGCAAGTTAAGGCAAATAATTTTTTCTGAAGCAGTCATGGTGTATGGTCCCCATGTAGATTAGAAATTTAGAATCCTAGAATCTCAGGCCAGAATAGTTTATCTTGCTTAATACCCAAAGGAGTACTTGATTTCTCCAATAAATGGTCTTTTGATTGAGTATCAACACTGAAAACAAACTCACCACCACCAGTTGTAATTATTAGCAAGTTGTATGTATTAAATTGAAGAACTTAAGTATCTACTTATAACAGACCTAGATTTCACAAGTTAAGTGACAAATTATACTTCCTACATTCAATTGTAAGAGACCGGTTTCTCATAACCTACAGAAGAAAGTTATGAATTGACTAGGACAGAGTGTTTTACCACCTTAATAACTTTACTACTTAAATTTTAAATTCAAATACAGCTTTCTCTCCTACAGGCAAATATCCAGAACAGGATTTGGAGAAAATGTATTCTGATAATTACACAACATGATTTGTTTTGCCCCTGTTGCTTTTAAATCTCCTTTTATCTGCAGCTAATGCCAAGTTCTGGGATCTTAACTGTGTGAGTGGCCTGGTGGTTTGTTTACCATCACAATGGGGGGTACAAATGACAGGAATAGTAAGACACACAATAGCAGTAGGTCGCTAGAGCTACCAAAAGCAATAGTTCAATGTTAACTAATCCTGGGTTTGCTCTGTGATGTGTAACTTTGTGGCATTTCATTAACAGCTTTAAAAAAAATTTAATTCTCACAAGAAAAAAAATTACTTCTGGCCCTTCTTCCCCTAAAACAACTGTTTTTTATAACGCAGTTTTTAATAATGTTGTATCTATCTTGTCATAACAGAACAAATACTTGGTTTTTTGTGTGTCCTCTCTGCTGTCCATGATCTGCAGTGCGTCTCATGCTGTGTAGTATCCTAAATCCTTAAAGATTAGAAATTAGAAGTTTTATGGAGAAGGCAAAATGTGACAATAAAAATGGCCTTTAAAATGGTACCTGCCAAATATTAAAGCAATTTTAGGAACAGTAGAAAAATGCTTTACAGATGAAAAAACTTATCCCAGTTAAAACGAGAATAATTATTAACCTTACGGTGATTGGCCAAAAAGGAACTGCATAAATCAGCCCACATTAGCAAGAGTTAGTCAGCTACCTCTATTCCAGGGAATCCCAACGTGAGAACTCACCTTTGTACTGGCTCCACATCTAAGAAGTCTGCCACCCACCTAAGAAGACACAGATCACTTGCTATCAAAAACATGTTAAAATTCTGTATGTGTGTTTTGTTTTTACAGTAAAAGCCGTACTTTATAGTGAATTAGTCCCTCTTCATCAAAGGATTTCAAAGGATCTATGCATTATAATCCTCATTAAACATTGTTAATGAGGTACTATTACTCTGTTTTATATAAAGATAGCTGAAGAGAAGGACTTACACAGAAGCCCAAATTTCCAGTACAAAGAGGACAACATCAAAAACCATTTAAACGTAGGGCTATTTAACACCCTCTCTTCAGACATTCTGAAACCTCTCCGTGACTGAATTTCCAAACCCTCACCCTGGTGTTAGGTGCCACATAGATACAGACTTAAGTGGAAATTTTAACCAAATTCTAATACTGGGGGGGGGCGGCGGAATCTAAATTTTGAAGAAACGCTTGCTCTAGCTTCTGGATGTTACTCCTTTGATCTAAGGGTAAGGTTCATTTTTGAGAGAAGGTTACTATATAGCATGTCACTAAAATCAGTTAAGTGTGCAAATATACCTTAATTCATGAGTTATATAATCTACTTGCAAGAACTGATTTCCTTTACAATGTTAAAAGTAAAAATTTTAGTGTTACTTACTGATTTATTATTGTGTGCTGAAAAATCAAGTTTAAAATATGTTGAGTTTGTTTGGATAGGAACAATAGATGGAAATGAGAGGGTATAATGATATCAGAAAAAAAAATTCAACAGCTCTAAATACCAGGCCATCAATCAGGACAGTTGTATGAAACGATGCAAAAGGACATAAATCCTTAGATTCATTGTGACCATATTATTATCATGGCTGTTTTGGCAATACATTTTACTCAGCTGATAGCCTAGCTGAGTACACACTTATTTTTATCTTTTACATAAGAGCAAATCTTCATTAGCTTTCACATATGGAAGGAAATGGTCTGAAGTCTTTAGTGGTTAGTGCTAACATTACCCAGTTAATAATGCTAAACATTGTATGCAATACATGACAAATTTCTACATTTTCTTTAGAACCAAATGTTAGCTGTTACGTATTTTCATTGTTGGGGGCATAAAACGAATCTTAACCTGGAAGAATTTTAATGGAATTAATTTGTAATTTATAGGGATAGACTTCACAAACAGAAAAGAAGAGCATGGCCCTGGCGTTCAAGGCAAAGAACATTCTGCTCCTTCGGATCCTCTGGCCCCTCCAGCGCCCCCAGTGGTTGCACCGCCACAGTCCCCGCCCCCAGCTGCCGTGGGAGCGGCCGGCGCCGCTGCCTTTCCCTGCGCGGCTTCCATCCCGTCGGCCGGGGCTCCTTCCGCTTCCTCTGCTCACTTTCCCGTTTCTGCAACTCTCGGCACTGCTGCCCCAGAAGAAACGGTTAGTACAGGGACTACAGGTGCCCGCGTGGGGAAGGGGCTCAGAACTTGCTCGTATATTGGAGAATTGGAACGTAGAACCTGTTTTCCCATGGAGGAAAAGTCTGTACGGTGTTTAGGCCCAGCCACAGAAAATATTTAATACACGAAGTAGTTAAAACAATTTTTTCTTGAAAATTTTATTTATTTATTTAGAGAGAGAGACTGAGAGAGCATGAGAGGGGGGAGGGTCAGAGGGGGAAGCAGACTCCCCGCCGAGCGGGGAGCCCGATGCGGACTCGATCCGGGTTCTCCGGAATCATGACCTGAGCCGAAAGCAGTCGCCCAACCAACTGAGCCACCCAGGCGCCCGTAGCTCGCTGGAAGTTCTGTTATAGTAGTGATAATTAAGACAAAAATAACTTTTTATATCACATTTTTCAAGAACTATTCAGGAAAATAGATTTGAGAAAGAGTTGACGACAGACTTTATTTTGAAGGGAACTCTAGTGCGTATTTTGAAGGGCTTAGGAGATTAAGGGCTCTTTTGTATATTTTGTATTCAACTACAGCTTTTTCTTTTCCTGGATGTAGATATATCGTTAACACTACTCTGTAGTTACTCCATCTTGATTTGATTAGGTTTTCCTTTGTAATTCACGATTGGAATAAAGATGGAAGTAGATTTTCCTAGTCACTGAGCTACTTGCAAGAGAAGTACATAGAGCATGGAACTGTTGAATGGGGATGGGGTATTTGTGTGAGAACTTGCCTGAAGGGAAATTAATCAAGCTAATTAATATGGAAGAGTTACAAAGCATGTCAGGGTTCTGACTCCTGAGCCTCCTCTTGTTAAACCTGTATGTATTCTTCAAACAGCGATTCTCAAAAGTGAAGGGAGTGGAGATACAGTCCAAACTTACCAGACTCACTTCCGCAGGGCTTTTTTAAAAACAATGTATCCCCTTCCCTACTCGGGCTTGGCTTAGGCACAAAGGCATGTCTAGTTTTATAAAGCTCCTGAGGTGATTCTGATTTGCTTGTGTCCCTCTCCTCCGGGACCCTAACCACTTACCTGAGAGGACAGAAGATGGCAGAATAGGTTTTATGTCTTACGGCCTCCCTGGCGGACCCTCAGAAGCTGCCATTGCCCTGGACAGCTCTCTGGAGCTAAGGAAGGCATTGAGTCAGCCAACTGGTCATCTGGAGTATTCCAGCCGACATCAATTTCTGCCTTTTGGAAGCTATTAACTTCGGGGAAAAATGTGTTGAGATCTGATGTTTATCACGTTTGCTCTTGATTCAAAGAGGTTAAAAAATATAGCTGTTAAGAGAAATTTGAATGTGTGAGGGAGTTTTGACTTAGAAATAAGACCCTAAAATTCAACTCTGACATGTGTTCAGCTGTATTTATTTTTCATGATTACACATTTTCAAGTGTGATCCTATACAGATGATCTCATTTAAGTAAACACAGTGAGTGTTTATTTAAATTTCTGGTTTGTCATTCATGTTGCATATTCAGATAATACACAGACCTAGATTTTTCAAAATTCCCTTCAAATATGACCACCATTTGTATATCTGCATTTATATATAAACCTGAACATGCACAGGAAGAACTGAATGAATGAGTATGTTTACCACCCTATTTGTTACTTTTTGAAACCATTTGAGATAATTTTGAAGTCTTTGAAACCTGAATAACACAATATTGTGTAGACAGCCCTTCCAGCTACATCCTCCTTCATTAATAGATAGACATTCAATTTTGTTCACATAAATACAGCCTTTAGGCTTAGGGGGGGAGAGGAAAATCAGAAGTAAATCACTCTAAGTATAATGCTAGTTTTCTTCCTTCCTTATATAATTATAGTCCTCAGATTGAGATTCACCTCAAATGTGTCTTGTTTTTAAAAAGAACCATAATAACAAAAGGAAGAACAAGAATATTAGTTGGCTAACTTACCTAATGTGAAACCATTATTGTTAGGACTAGGAAAGGAGAGATTTGTGAGCTAGGCCTGGTTACCTTTCTTTTCATTTTAATCACAGAGGCTTCCTAGGAACTATTCAAAACTTCTTCCAGTCTTAGTATTTTCAGTTGCTAAAAGGAGGTCTTTACAGAGAATAAACTGTAGAGCCTGGGAAACAAATAACTGGAGAAAGGAGGATTACCATCCTAGTAAAATAACACCTTCATCTGTAAAATTTTTAATTTCTGCAGACGTCCTCAATATGTTAAATAACATACCAGAATTTCATGGTGGAAAGCACTTTTCAAGAAATACATTAGGCAGTTATACAAGCAAATATGTTGCAGTTCACAAGGCTGGACAATAGGTGACACTTTATTCTTTTTTCTAACTCCCAGTTGGAATAATTGAGGGGTTCCAGCTGGATTTTTAAACTCTTTAGTAAAGGTGCCCTCTTAACTTTCCTCTTCATCTGAATGGAAAGTGAGAGAGTGTCTTAGGCACCCAGCACTGCTTTCCTCATTTTACAAATGGAAACTGAGGTTTAGGGAGAGGGAGGGAGTAACTTGCCTATGGACACAAGCAGTAACAGAACTGGAATTCAGACTTTGACAGTTTGGCCACAGAGCCCTTTCTTAACCGATAATCGGGTTTGTCTCCATGTCAAATATTAAGAAACAAATACTGAGGGGCGCCTGGGTGGCTCAGTCATTAAGTGTCTGCCTTTGGCTCGGGTCATGGTCCCAGGGTCCTGGGATCGAGCCCCACATTGGGCTCCTTGCTCAGCAGGGAGACTGCTTCTCCCTCTCCCCTCCCCCTGCTTGTGTTCCCTCTCTCACTGTGTATCTGTCAAAATAAATACATAAAAATCTTAAAAAAAAAAACAAATACTGAGTTTTAGAAAATATGTCATTTCCCTTTTCTTTCTTAATCCTTTTGATTTTGTTGCATTTGTTGATACGGCATAAAATGCTAGAATTTCCATTTTTATGGCATTTTTTAAGTCAATTAAGCTGATAAATTTAATGAGATCCAACATGACTGGGACGAGTAAGTGGTCATTTAGTCAAAAAGTCAATTAAAAAAAAGTTAAAGCAGGAAATTTTTAAAAATTATATATACATACATTACACACCATTTTATGTTCAAACATAAGTGCATACTAATTTGCTAGTGTAGCTGAACTGAGTATGGGTTCACAGACTGTAATTAAGCCATCTTTTTTATATAAGCTACACTCAGTGGACTATTTTTTCTGTAATTTCCAGTTTCACTTTTTGTAAAGTAAAGCAAGAGCCTAACAGAACTTGCAACGCAATCTGATTATAGAACAAACCATTTGAAAACAAAAAGCAGACCTGGTAAACATGCAAGTCAATTAAGACAACTATTTATTTCAAAGAAGTGTATAGAGGTTCCTTTTTAGTCCTTATTTCTTTACTGGAGTATGTATTTTCATTTTACTGAAGGCATTTTATTTTATTTTTTTAAAGATTTTGTTTCAGAGAGCGAGAGCACGAACCAGGGGGAGGGGCAAAGAGAGAGGGAGAAGCAGACACTCTGCTGAGCAGGGAGCCCCACTATGCTTAACCCACTGAGGCATCCAGGCGCCCCCTATTGAAGGCATTTTAAAGCAATTCTCAACTGGTTGGATGAAGGTTATCAGCCATGGGCATTTTCCAGTGTTTTGGGTTCATAGTTTTTCTCATTCCACATGTCTCCCTGTCAAAACCTACATAGTTTTTCGTTCATTCCTTCATCCTCCAAGTAAGAACAGCTGTTATAGTTGGGAGTGTTTATACCCCTCAAATGTGACTGGGCAGGAATAAGGTTACCAGCTTAATTGTACTTCAGTTTTCAATTTTTCATAAAAATATTCTTACCGGCAATTTTATATTTTACATTTTAAAATGGTTTTTAAAACTCTTCAGTTTATAAAGTCTTTTTTATACCTTATTTTAATAAGAAATAGGATAAAGTTTCCCTAAGGTCAAAAGCATGAATTTAGTCCACAAAAACATATTTGTAAATATTTTAGGATCAGAGTTTTGGTTTCTTAAATTCGTAAGACCCATAAAAACTTAGTTTAAATAGCCGAATAGTTTCTACAGTATTATAGTGAGAAACAGTTGTCTAAACATCTCCCTAAATTCTATTAGCTGTTTCTCCTATTTACCTTTTTCTCCCTAAATAATATGCTCATATCATCATTTCCACATGCATCAGTTTCAGACATTATCTGTTGACTTTTTATTATGGATGAAAGAATTTGGCCTTTTTATACCACCTTATTTCTTCCCTTCCCCTCCCTCATCCACTGTATGTATGTATGTATGTATGTATGTATGTATGTATTTGAGAGAGAGAGAGAGAGTGTGTGAGCAGGGGGAGGGGCAGAGGGAGATAGAGAATCTTCAGCAGGCTCCACGCTCAGCACAAAGCCGGACATGGGGCTCGATCTCACAACCCTGAGATCATAACCTGAGCCAAAATCAAAAGTCGGATGCTGAACCAACTGAGTCACCCAGGCGCTCCTCCACTTTATATATTTAGATACAGATATTCCAGCTTTTCATTAAGTTAAAATTTATGATGACTATGTAAATATAGCTAAGCTACAAATGTATACTATGCCTCCATTTCCTTTCTAGTACAATTTTTTGTTCCTGGAATTGATTCCTTCATTTTTGTCTTTGCTTGGTTTTCTGTGCAACTGTAATTAAGTCTCAAATCCAAACTCTCCAAGGATTTACAAAACCTCACTGAGTGCTATTTTCCTAGAGTCCTCCCGACACATCAATATTCTATCATTTTAATTTTCCCAGAGACATTTCTCATGGAATCCACTATCCTATTTCAATATACAGCTGTGACCATCTGTAGCTAGATGCAGATATGTAAAGAACTTCAATGAATGAAACCTCAGATGGACTAGAACAATGAGGAAAGATCACTATTTAATAATGCTTTTGGAAAAACTTTCGTTAGAGGGAAAATTAATTTAGATTCATAATTCACACTGAAATTTCAAATGTTTTAGTAAGTTAAACCCAAATAAGTAAATGTTAGAAGAGTATAATTACCACAGCTGTCCAAAGCAGGCTGCTTGATTCAATTATGGAAGAAATTAATGATAAAATAAGCTATAATTTTTTATATTTATGTGCATTGAAAAATAAAACTGAGATAAAATGAAATAGGGAAAATACTATTAGATAAGTATCTGTATCAGGAGCAATTAAACATTTTTGAGAGCAATACCCATTCCTGGCAAGTAATTAAAGAACATGGATAGTTGACAAAATGAACTGCAAATATGAAAAATTAATAAGGGGGCTCCTGGGTGGCTCAGTCGTTAAGCATCTGCCTTCAGCTCAGGTCACGATCCCAGAGTCCTGGGATCAAGCCTCACATCGCATCGGGCTCTCTGCTCGGCAGGGAGCCTGCTTATCCTGCTCCCACTCCCGCTGCTTGTGTTCCCTCTCTCACTGTCTCTCTCTCCTGTCAAATAAATAAATAAAACCTTAAAAAAAAAAAAAAGAAAAATTAATAAGGAACCACAAATTAAATCAAATATATATGTTATTCCTGATAGAAATATAATCTTTCTGGAGTATCATCCAGCAGTAAGTAACAAAAGCTGGCATTACCTTTTGATATGATCATCTCATTTTTGCAAAATATTCTATAGAAATAACAAAAGAAAAGGGGAATCCTCATGTACAAAAATTTGTTTCCTATTAAAGTAGGAAAAGAACTGAGTTAGATAAACTTTAGTTTGTTGGTTATTAAAACCTCTCATTAAAAATTATAGCAGGTCTCTATATTCATGAGAAAAAGTATATTAACAAAGCAATAAAAAAGAACACAAAAGCGTATGTCTAATGAGAAGCATATGTGTAAAATTAATTATACATAAGGATCAAAGCGTTCATAAAACAGAATAATGGTTGCCAAGGGTGGTTGAGGAAGGGAAACAGATATGATTCTAAAGGGTCACAAGAGGGAGACTGTGGTGCTAGAATAGTTCTGTGTCTTGATTACAGTAATAGTTACAGGAATCTAGACATGTGATAAAAATGACACAGGTCAAGACTGATGAATCACAGACCTGTACCTCTTAAACAAATAATACATTATATGTTAAAAAAAAAAAGAAGATAGCAGGAGGGGAAGAATGAAGGGGAGGAAATCGGAGGGGGAGGCCAACCATGAGAGACTATGGACTCTGAGGAACAAACTGAGGATTCCAGAGGGGAGAGGGGTGGGGGGATGGGTTAGCCTGGTGATGGGTATTAAAGAGGGCACGTATTGGGGGCACCTGGGTGGCTCAGTCGTTCAGCGTCTGCCTTTGGCTCAGGTCGTGATCCCAGGGTCCTGCGATCAAGCCCCGCATCGGGCTCCCTGCTTGGCGGGGAGCCTGCTTCTCCCTCTCCCACTCCCCCTCCTTGTGTTCTCTCTCTCGCTGTGTCTCTCTCTGTCAAATAAATAAATAAAATCTTTAAAAAAAAAAAGAGGGCACGTATTGAATGGAGCACTGGGTGTTATACGCAAACAATCAATCAAAAACTAATGATGTACTGTATGGTGACTAACATAACATAATAAAGTTAAAAAAATAAACTGCTAATCAGCACCAAAAAAAGTATGACATGGATCTATAATACCAAGGCATTATACCCATGGCAGCTTCTTGGCTTTGACATCATAATTATACTATACTTATATAAGATGTAATCACAGCAGGAAACCAGGTGAGGAATACACAGGACCTCTCTATACTATCTTTGCAACTTCTTATGAATCTGTATTTATTTCAGAATAAAGAGCTTTTTTAAAAGTTTACAAAATCCTATAAAATGGTGGGTACACCCAAGGTTAAAGGGATGTTTTGGGGTGCTTGGTTCTATGTTCTGCTTTTTGTCTCATTGTTTTAAGTTTATTTTTTCCATCTTAAAGTTGGTTCATATACAATTATTTTTTAAGTGCCTATGTATTTCCCTCAGAAGTTACAGAAACAAAAGTACTATATATTTTGCCATGGAATTTCTACCAGTTGGATATTTGTGGTTTTTTTTAGTATGTGCCCAGAGTTGTGACATCTGCACAGCAGAAAGCTGGAAGAACAATTACAGCCCGGATCACAGGGAGATGTGATTTTGCCTCAAAAAACAGAATTAGTAGCAGCTTAGCTATAATGGGAGTTTCTCCTCCCATGAGCTCAGTTGTTGTGGAAAAACATCATCCAGTCACAGTGGTGAGTACATATTTGATGACCTTTGTCAAAAAATGTTTTTCCTGAGAGTTTATAGACTAATAAACACTTAAGCTACATGTTGAGGAGAAGATGAAAATTCATGATGACTCTTACTTGTTCTACCTTTTATTATGATACTTTGTATACTTGTAATTATCAAACCTGTTCTAAATCTACCTTTCCTCTTTTAGGAAATTAATTTCAGAAACATTGTTTCTTCTCAACAGTGTAAAAATTATCAACACAAAAAGTAATCCACTATGTTGGTGACCAAAAGAAATATATAAATGCTATCTCATTAATTTAAAAAGAAGAGACAAAAGCTGTTTACTCATTACCTGCTGTTCATGTAGCAGGTATTTGATTATAAGAAGCACCTCCCTATTTTTATAGTCTTTAATTTTTGCCTTTTTTTTTTTTTTTTTTAAGTCTTCTTCCCCTTTTTTCAATACAACTGTCAGCATATTTGCAGTTTGGAAAAAAATTCAGGTTGCAGTAAATTCACATGATATAAAAGAAAATGCCTGGAATTTAAGCAAAAATAAACAAAAAAGCCTGAGTTAGTGCCTCAGTTTTGCTACTTACTTAAGCCTTTGTGATCATACACAAATCAAGTAAAATATTTGAGCTTCCGTTTCCTCTTGTGTAAAATGGGAGTGTAAAGAGTACTTAGCTCCTAGAGTTATTTTCTGGATTCAGGATTAAATGAGATAATGTGAAAATTGTATGAGATATACTAAAAAAAAAGCACTTTATAAACTGTAAAACCACAAGCAGATTTAACTTAATAAAAATTACTAGAGAAAGGTACATGGGATACCTCTATTATTTCTTAACATTGCATATGAATCAACAATTGTCTCAAAAAGTTTTAACTTTTGAAAGTCACAAGATCACATCCCTAAAGAGAAACAAGAATTGACTTTAAAAGAGAATGCCCCCTATATAAATTTTCAGTGTTAGACAACACTCCTGTCTACTTAATATGTCAAAATATTAGCAAAAATATATGTGAAATGATTTTACATCCTTTTCTTTCTGGCACTAGATGATTGCTAGATGATTAAGAGGAGCTGGAGTGTTTAAATTTAGCCTCAGGTAAACAATGACCACAGTGAAGTGGAGACTGACACAGAGGCACCAAGTCTAGATGGAGGGTATGGAGGGTGGAGGAGTATCAGCCTTCAGAGGTTGCGAGGGTGGAGGAGTATATGCCTTCAGAGGTTGCAAAGACTCTGAAAGCCCTTAAGTGACTTCTCAATATATGTTTGAATATGCAAGATTAGTTATCAGAAATAAGAAATGAACTCATTTCTATTTTTATCAGCACATATGTGTATAGAGAGGGAGAGGGACTGTCCATTTGTAAGATAAAGAAGGCATAAAGAGATCACATATATGCTTAATCTTAATTTAGGCCACCTTTTGTTTTTATATTAATGATAGGAATTCATATTCCAAAGGAAAAAAAACAACAACACAAGGAAATAAAGACTTACAACCCCTGTTTCTGAGATTTAGCTCCCCAGCTGCCCTTTGCTAATTCAGTATGTATAGTACTTCTTGTACTTCTCTAGTAATTGGTCGTGAATGAGACAGCCAGAAACTGCTTCATGATTACCTAATTGGGATTATATAACAGACGCTGTGGCAGTCCTCTGTACTACTTTTCATTTTATCCCCAAAATTAAGACCTGTAACTACCAGAAACAGTTACTACTAATAAACCAGTAGTCAGATTTCTGACACTTTAGCCCCATCTGCTGGATAATTTCTTGTTCCTAGTGCTACTTCATTTTCTGCCGTATTTCTGTAGATCATGAAACCAGTGGTAAGGTGAATCTGTTTCTGCATTTCCTCTTGCCCATCCTCCCCAAGGAGAAATAGCTCTTTTAACAGGGTCAGATTAGGTGGTTAGCAACTAAATTTTCATACTAGTTGGAAGAATCTCCCCCATCTGTAATGGTTATCCAGTTGTCTATGTACAATGAAACATTTATGTAAAATAGTTTTAAGACAGGAAATTATTTTCCCATTTCTTTAAAGAGGAACTCTTAAAGCAGTATCTGTCATGAAGACCTTTGTTGTAAGAGTTTTCATTCATTTTTTTAAGGGTTTTTAAAATACACAGTGAATGTTTTGATCAAATATATAATTTTACTTCAAGCATTTTAAAGATGACTTTTCTAAGTGGACGACCCTACTAGGAATGTACAGGTACTACTCAGTGACGTGGACTGAGATCTGGATAACAAGTCCCACTGCTGCCTACAGAGAAGCTGTATCCAGTATAATATAGGAAATCCTTGTACTTGTACATTTTACACATACGAATGCATGTAGTATCTACTTGTATAGATGAAGTGAAGTCGGTTGTGCACTGACTCTCATGCTTTGGTGCTTGGGTCCAAGATGTTCCCCTGAGCTCTGAGATGGTATGGGTATCCTCCTCTCAAGATTTGTCCTCAGCGTCTATTTGTATAGAAAGTTGTAGTCCACAGTAAGGAGCACCAGGCTTCTGGAAATATCTCCTCTTATATAATCATAAAAGGTTTAGTCAGCTCCCAGGTGAACCAGGTTGAAATACGAGAGATGTGCTTTACTCGGTTTGAAGCAAGGACCAGGCAGGATTCCTCAGAGCTCTCCCCATGTTCCCTGAGACTGAACTCCATATGTTAACAGATACAGGGAGGAGAAAACTGATTGGAGTGAAGGGAGGGAGGGCTTGAGGCTGACCCTTCTCCCAAACACCATAAAGTCCCTTTCTGTAGTTGGCCTCTGTAAACATTACAAGATTCCACTGGAGTCCTCTTAGAGGAATGACTTCCATGGCTTTTTTTGTGATCCTCTGGAATATAGCTCTGATATTGAATTGTGGGTATTGAGCACATCAGTCTAACTTACAGGTTAAGGACCACATCTTATTTGTTTTAATGGCTGCTTCACCAGCTTACTGCATGTATCTACTGGATGCTTAACAGATATTTGTTTGGTTAAATTATATATAATGAAATGGTATTTAATAGGTGTAATTTTATGGGATTGTTAAAGCATATTTTTACCTTTTCAGCAAACCATTCCTCAAGCTGCTGCAGCAAAATATCCCCGGACAATTCATCCTGAAAGTACCTCAGCTTCTAGATCCCTTGGAACCAGGTCAACTCACACCCAGTCTCTCACAAGCATTCATTCCATAAAAGTGGTTGACTAAAATGAATATGCACATATTGAGATCTTTTAATTCTTCTGATTTTACCAAGAATTAGAAGTCTCTAGTTGTTAAAATTTCATATTCTCGGAACATCATAGATATATCATGTTCATCTTTTCAAAATTACAAGAGACTTTTTCAAGCCATGCCATCCTGTGTAACTATATGTAGGATTATTTTAATTTTAATGTTATTTTTTTAATTTAAGCAATTAAGTAAAACTTTTTTAAATTAAAAAATGACTTAATTTTTTAATAGGTTCAGCCTGTCACTGATTACACCATAAGAGTATATAAATCCTGTTTTCTCAACGTTATTTTCAAAAGGCTAAATCATTTCCAATGTTACCAAGTAAACTTTGAGAACTTTACTAAAAATATTAAAACTAATAGAAAAATTAAGGTATTTTTATTTTAAAATTTAAAAAAAGTAATGATACTTTAATACAAAGTTTTTGTGATGGTAGTGTATTAGTCTTCATTTTCCTCAGACTATTACAATTAAAAATGGGAATTGGTGAGACCTGTGAATAATTTTAATGTTAAAAAGAGAAAGATTTTTTTTTACTAGCACAAAAAGAGAGACACAAACATCAAAAAAAATTTCCTCTTGGAATGATCCTATTTTTTTTTTATGTAGTTTATTTATTTATTTATTTATTTATTTTATGTTCAGTTAGCCAACATATAGATCCTATTTCTGATGTTCTTTTTTGCCCTTCTGAAACTGTACGGCATTGAACCCTTTTTCTCTCTGAACATCTAAACATCGCCCTGTGGGGGTAGGTATGGCACTGGGCAACTCAGCAAACCTTCTAGGCCTGGGCAGAGACTTTTCAGTGGAAGAAACCGTCTGGGTAAAAGTGGTTGAGGAAATCAAGACCAGGCTTCTAATGGTTTTATTGCTGGCTCACTGGGCTATCTTGGGCCAGACATTTAATTTCGTGAATCTTAGGATCACATCTGTGAAACAGTGAGCTGGACCTACCCCTCCTATTTCACGAAGTACTTTGGGTTACATAAAAACAAGTCCATTCTAAAGAATCTGTCCAGAGCCTCAATTTTCATATCTTTGACAGAATTGGATGGACTTACTTAGAAGCCTCTTTCACTTTGAACGTGATCTAGTTCTATGCTCTAACTTTATTATAGGAAATAGTTTTTCTTACTGCTTCACGTTGTAATAGAACATGAGAATAAATGGGAGATAGGCAAATATCCTGTTTTCTAAAGGGCACACCAAGGCTAATCTGCACTTTTCTGAACTAAAGAATTAGAGTATTCTTCTTACGCAGCACTGTTCTGAATTCTGGCCCAGCTACCACTGTGGCAAACAGCTCCTCAAGGGTTTCAACAAACACAAACCAACACAGCGCCTCTTGTGCTCCCCATACCTCGGCCACGCTCTTCTCTAGGACTTCACCATGCACTCTGAGTGAAGCACAACAGACCACAGGCTCCATTTGGAGCCTACTCATATGCAGCCCGGAATTAACACCCCATTGTGGTAACAGATCAGTTCTTCCTTTCTCCCCTGTATGAACTGCACCGTCTTGTACTAGTCCATCCCATCTCTCAGAAGAGAGTACCCTGGAAGTCAGATGATCAGTTATGCTTCATACCAAGTGGTGGCCAATTTGGTATTTCACCCTGGTCTAGGCTCTCCCTCCTTTCTCATCTCACTCCCTTTTTCCCTCTTGCTTCCTTGGATTTGCACTCCTGAAAAACAGCTACTCGTAGATTTTGGTCTCAAGCTCTGCTTTTTGAAGAACCTAGATGACAATTAGGAATGGTTTTCAGTATCCAAGCCATAACCATATGGACAAACTAAAGGGAATATTATGAATATTGTAATTAAGAATATCATAAGCATCTTTTTAAGCTTTAAGCTCTAGAAATTGTATGTTGTCCAAAGCAGAATCAAATAATTAGTGTTAGCCTAATTTAACGTAAACGCCACAATTAAAACACTTACACAGTAAGAATGTCTATTCTATTTGTTTACTTTGCGTTAAGAGGTTACCCAGATTTTAGAAGAGGGAGTAAGTAAGTAGCATGGTCAGTGGAAACCAGCCATATTGAAGAACAGATTGGGGGGAGGGGTGCCTGGGTGGCTCAGTCGTTAGGCGTCTGCCTTCGGCTCAGGTCATGATCCCGGGGTCCTGGGATCGAGCCCCGCTTCGGGCTCCCTGCTCAGTGGGAAACCTGCTTCTCCCTCTCCCACTCCCCCTGCTTGTGTTCCCTCTCTTGCTGTGTCTCTCACTGTCAAATAAATAAAATCTTTAAAAAAAAAAAAAAAAAAACAGGGACAAGACTTCACTGAATACCTTTCTTAAAACTTTTTGCCTGTGTGAACATATTACCTATTTTAAACATTCATAAACGTAAGTGGGCCATTTACAATCAGCATGAGACAAAGATATAAAACTATAAATTCATGATAGAATAACTGGACTGATACTGCTCATGATTATATCTTTGGCCTTAAAGAATTAAGCATCAGAATTTGAGAATGGAGAGCCTTAAATTACAATGAACAGGTGCACGTAAACTGATATGAGTTGATACTTGATTTCATATTTATTTCATAACTTCCTCAGATTATAAAAATACTACATGCTGACTGTCAAAAAAAACCTGGAAAGTACCAAAAAGTACAAAGAAAATGAAAATCACCTGTAATTACATCACCAAGAGATTAAAAAAAACAACAACAAACATTGGTGTATACACTTCTGGTCTTTTCTAAGCAATATACTACACATATGTGTTATTTAAAGCCAACAGTAACTGTAAATTTCCAAAACTATTTTTTCTCACTGAAGAGAAATAACGAACAGTGGATGATTTCAATACTGTGGGCATGAGATTAGACATTTAACAGGCATTCAACCTTCATCTCCCATGCTGTGGAAGAGAGAGACACTCCCCCATTTTATAAAGAAGGAAACTGAAGATCTCAGAACTTGCGTCTTAGTATGCCCAAAGGCTCACAGTTAAGAAGTGGCAACCCTAATTAAAACCATGTCTGTCTATTCTAAATCCCTTGGTTTTTTCATGTACCAGGATGCTGCTCCTACCAACATTTAAAAAAGAAAAAAGTGGGGCGCCTGGGTGGCTCAGTTGGTTAAGCGACTGCCTTCGGCTCAGGTCATGATCCTGGAGTCCCGGGATCGAGTCCCGCATCGGGCTCCCTGCTCGGCAGGGAGCCTGCTTCTCCCTCTGACCCTACCCCTTCTCATGTGCTCTCTCCCTCTCTCTCATTCTCTCTGGCTCAAATAAATAAATAAAATCTTTAAAAAAAAAAAGAAAAAAATAAAGAAGAAAAAAGTGATGTGCAAAACCTAGGTTATGCTATCACATATGTTGCATCAAGTGGCAGAAATGCAAAAATACACAATTTGCTTTAAGTAAAAATCAAAAAAAAACCTTCTGACCTTTCATTTCAGTAGTTGGAAAGTACTAATACCATTTTCTCATCTGGTAGAGCTTCCTGTCACCACCATTGTCACAGTTGAAAGGAAGATCAATACTACTGCTAGAATTTTATGGCATTAAAGAACTAAATTTAAAGGATGGTGCTGAGTGGAAAATCAGTTAAATACAATTTCTTTAGGCATTTATGAAACTGCACATTTCTTGGACTTTGAGTTAGTTTCGTTTTTGAATTGACGGATCTTTTCTGGAAAAAATAGGATAACATTTATTATTAACAGCTAACATTTATTAAGCACTTGCTATGTGCCAGGCACTATGACTGACTTAATCCCACAACAACCTTCGACAGACGATTTTCTAGTTAGTAAAGGAGAACACTGGCACAGTGAGGTCGGAGAACTTGCTCAAGATCACACTGCTGTCAGCGCTGGAGGTCAGGGACGGGCCCACACTGCCTTGCTCCCGAGCACATCCCTGCACCACCTCAGGGGACTGCCTCTTACTCTCCCCTGAGAATTCGTACAGAAACAGATTTAAAGTTGAGGGAACAATCCCAGTGCTATGAAGATAATGTCACGGGAGGAGCCATTATCCATGCACGATCCCTTGAAACGGAGTATTGGCTCAGTGGTGTGATTCAGGCATTTATGCTCGGCTTTGGGTAAAACTGCATCGGTGAAAATAACGGCAGATGTGCCTATATTAGACTTTTGAATAGTTATTATTACATAAGAGTTATAGCACCCCCTAATGATTCGATCAGTTTTGAAAGCATCTTCCCTGCAGTACAGTCTTTGGGGCAAGTGATTTTCAGCAGTAACCTCAGCTGCCCAAGTAAAAGCCTGTCTGCTCTTTTCTCTTAACCTACAGATAACATTTTCGAATACACTAACTTGCAGACTTCCCCAACAGGCAAAATGGCCTCTTGAGCAAGACCATGCTTAGTGGTGGCAACTGTCTCTCACCTTAAATCCTGCCCTCTCCTGCTCCCCACACCCCACACACACACCTCCACACCCTGCCGCACATACACATCAACAGAAATCCTCCTCCACTTTTTCAAATGCCCAGTAGGGGGGGTGACATCGAGAACTGCCCGGCTAACGTGGGATCAGTATCAACTGAGCATCGACTCGCCAGAGGAGCTGCTTATTCTTTATGAGCCACTGCGCTCATCAGACTGGGATTGCCGCTGTTAATGGACAGTATTGTTTCTGCTGACTGTCCCCCGACCATTTTAAGGGAGAAGGAGCTTCTGTCTTGAAAACTAACTCACCAGCTAGTTCTGGGAAACCTGCGTGTACCAGCTCTTCATACAGCTGCTTGACCGGAGTGGCCTGGGTCATCAGGGTCCCATGCAGCCAGATGAGCAGAGCCCTGTGGCCGTGTTCACGGAAACTTCCCTTTCCTGTGCCAAGTACATACAGTCAGAGGCGAAACCCTACATGCTGATGTCTCTTTTTGTTGTGATCTTAGTTCTCACTGAATTTTCTGTATGACTGTGGTTGCAACTCATTCCTCTTCTGATGGCTGTTAGATAAAAAGCCCAGTGGATGAAAGCCCTTCCAGTTCCACTCACTGGAACTTCTTTAGGGTGACCAGAGTTTGGATTCTCTCCAGCACTTACCTTGCACCTACTGTGCTTGACACAGACCAAAGGAGCAGATAAGACATGAAGCAGCTGAGTCCCTGCCCAACAGTAAGGAACAATCTGAGATGCAGAGCTCTCCTTCAACGTTCAGTTGGCACTGCTATGCACCACCATCTCTCACACTCAAAGTGCATATTTCAACGGGGGATCCTGTTACAATGGAGAGTCTCATGCAGTCTGCCTCGGGCTAGGATCTGCACTTCTAATGAGCACCCAGATGCTGGTGTTGCTGTCTGTTAACCACACTATGAGCAGCAAACGTGTACCATCATGCTACTCCAGCTTCTGATGGAAGTATGCATCCCCTGGGCCAGGATTATTCACTGGATACCTAACCCCTGAGAGATGTTGGGGGGAAGCACTGAGATGTGTCTCTCGCAACAGGAGTTCACAGTCACAAACACAGAACAGGCTCCTAGCTCTAGCCAGTGTGTGTGGGAACAGGCAGATGCCACAAAAGGAGGGTCTGAGCTCTGGGGAGGAAGCTTGCTGGACAGACTGTTAAAGAAGCAGGTGTTTCAGGGGGAGGGAACTGTATCCATAAAGAATGTACTCCTAGGTGAATCCTGTTCCTTTCCTGATCTTGCCTTTGCCAAACTAATTCTTCTTCAGTACCACCATCATCGTGTCCCTCCTTTGCTTAAAAGCCCACAAACTCCTTAGTGCTAGTACCATTACGCTGGATTGTATTTGGATTGTGAATGTTGCTGTTACCATGCCACCTAGATTATAAATTCCACCAAATGTGCACCTTGGCTTATAGAGCAGTTCATCCCTCGCCTGGTAGAGCTAAACGCATTCTAGGCACTCCACGTTGTTTGACTAAAACGCTTTAAGTCCCCTTTATCCTGCTGGCAGGTACTCTGAAGATACAGTATATTTTCGGGCACCTGGGTGGCTCAGTTGGTTAAGCGACTGCCTTCGGCTCAGGTCATGATCCTGGAGCCCCGGGATCGAGTCCCGCATCGGGCTCCCTGCTCAGCAGGGAGTCTGCTTCTCCCTCTCCCGCTCCCCCCTCTTGTGCTCTTTCTCTCTCTCAAATAAATAAATAAATAAAATCTTTAAAAAAAAAAAAAGATACAGTATATTTTCAAATCATTTCTTTAGGTCAAGAGGGATTTCCAGAAGGCAACTAAATTTTCCTAAAAACTTCACAGAATGTCATATGCCTAATTAGTGACAAAGGAGAATACTTAACAGTAAAAAAGAAATCTTTTCAGAAACTATAGTCAATATTCAACATTTTCAATGCATTATCTTCCATAATGTAGCTGTAGAATTAGCAGTAGAAAGTGCCATGATTTACTTTTATGTGGTGTAAATAGCACGTATTCATGGTCTGTGGTTTTGCCATCTACAGTCCCAGCAATCAATAACGCAAATCAACTGCTGAGCATGGGACTTGGTCACATCTCATAATATCCATGTAAGGAAAGTGCTCTGAATAGAATGTTTTCCCAAGAAAAGTGTCTGCTTCCTTGTCTAATTAGCTGATTAATGCCAAACAAACTTTATTTCCTAAGTTTTGGTCAAATCATAAAAAAGCAAAGCTAATGACTCCAGCTGACCTGACCTCACTAATTCTGACAGCTGGAGTCTGGCTGAATTGATTCCATGGCTTGGGATCTTCTACTCAGGAGAGCCCTGAGTCTGTCTCCCACATCTCTCATGGGACAGCTGGTCTCACCCAAGGCTGCATCCTACAAGAACTCTACACCCAGATGTGGCTGAAGGGATTCCTCCTGGAGTAGAAGCCCTAAACAGTGAGCCTTTTGTTAGAGAATGAACCTTTTCACCCCAAGACAATCTCAAGGAACACTAGAAGAGGTTGGTTTCCCAGGGACAAGTCAACTGTTAAGTCCTTGCTTCCTTAGTGCCTATTTATTTGGGAACCTTCATTTTCTTAAAGGCTAAATGCCAACTTTTCAATATGGCTCAATAAAAAGTAATTATCCTTTGCAAACTTCAGTTAATTGCAGAGTCCATGAATGTTCATGGTTTGCAAAGTTCTCAGTCATCTTTGTGGTCTTAAGCTAACTGTCCCAGTTCCTGGGCCCTTGTAGTCTGCTGCTTGTTGTGAGCACCAATCACTTACTTGGAAGATCTGCCACCAGGAAGAACAACTGCTCCTTCCTGTCCACATCATCTAGGCCATGCTTACCTGACCACTGCTCCTCAATGGCTCTGATC